AAGCCAATGCAAGATCGTCAACAGACTAGCTAGGTCGTTAATGGAGCAAACCGAGATCTAAGACAATCTGATCCTCGTCTTAGGGCATCAAATACAATATATTTACATAATACAAGTCGGTGACTGATAAAACTGTATGTAGATTCACATGTGCAGTGATTTACATACTATGTGCCTGTCTCCATCGTCGTCACTCTACCATTAAGACGTGGCAGCTGCTACGTTTACTTCCCTGCTATATAGGTACTATAATTCGTTATCCACATTTGGGCCGCGTTGATTCACAAGAAGGCTTCTATGAACCATGGTTTCTTCCGATTATATCCGATCTGAATGACTTCTACTTGCTCTATCATGAAGTATTGGATCTAGGCGGTAGTGAATCAATGGACGGCGAGTCATCGTCTCTTAATCCCGAAGGGATTGTCTTACGTTGACCTGTCTTTACCCTAACACTAATCCTAACATTAAACACTAGCACTCTTGGGTAGCTTCGGAGGTTCACGATTACGAGCATCGCGTTTTTAACTTGGGTAGAGCTGTGGGATGGGGCTGATTCCCCTGTGACAAAGAACACGCTTTGATTTAAGCGAAGTTGACTTGAGAGGCCTGGGCCCAATCGCATGCCGAGAATGAGTTTTCGGGACTCATCACATGAGTATTCCTCAATGCGAGTCCCAGCTCCATGGTGGATGGTTGATTCTCCTTTATCCCGACAGAGATTAGTCTTCGTAGCATAATGAAGATCTGTGCTATCGTCAGATGTCATCTAGAGGCTCTAATTTGTTTTTCTTAAAGTCTTGAGTTTTGCCGTAGAGAGATCCCCGTCGATGAGTAGGCGAATAGGGTTAGACAAGGAAAGACTTCACAAATGCAGGTAATCTCACTAGAGCTAGGGCCCTTGACCCTTGAACGCACGCGTAGCTAGAGCACAGACTACGCAGAAGCCATCCCGGCTCATAGGATGATTAGTAGATCGTGAATGGTTTAATAGAAAGCTCGATTTGGACTTAGTTACTCATTTCCATATCCGCTAAGGAATGTATCACAGGTTTGTGCACATTGCACATATTAGTCTTCTTATTGTAAGCCGACGGAAGATGGACCGGGACGCAACAGCTTGGCTGCCGGGTGCGAGTTTGTTTTTTTATGATGATTTGCATCAGCTCCCTGGACAGGGTTACCAATGACGGCAACAGCACGGACATCAATTTCTTGCTGTAGTATTTACGGCTTTACAGGGTGAACACTGAGCAGGGTAAGCTGGAAATATACTACATTCGTCACTCACGCATACAGCATACCTAAGGTAGGTAGGTAAGGTACCTAGGTAAGGTATGTAATGAAGGCATACGTACGTATCTCCACCATCCCTGTAGCATCTTTCTCAACATCACAAACATCACAGACATGCATACAAAAGGAGCAGCCCCCATTTTAACACTACCGTTAGAACAAGAACCCTTTTCTTTTACAGTATGTATAGTAGCATAGCATATATTAAAGTAACAACTAGCCAGACTTTGCGATCTGAAGGACGGCATAACGCATAATACAACATATCTTGGTAAGAGAACGAACGCATTAATAGAGCCACCTATCTTAATTCTGTCATCGCCATGCTGCCGGGACTGTCGGGAGGATGTTCGTGAGCAGGGGCGCATGGCTGGATAAGGCTTTGACAAGTGACGATGTTGCATGGGGCTAATCTCGCGATCGCTGTCATGGATGAAGATTAAAGAGTTAAGAAAAAAAAAGGTACGTAGCTTAATATCAATAATAATTATTAGTTGGTAAATATTGGATTATCACAACATGTAAGAACCCAAATTAGCCAAAATTAGCCCACATTGTACAGACAAAAATACGGGTTAAGTCAAAAATAGAATAATTATTGGTGTGTAGATACTATGTAAGGTAGGTATGTAGGTTAAACTTGCAAACGAGTACGACTTTTTTTTTTAGCGCCCGGTATGCATTTGGATGCAAAGTATAGCTCGACTTAACCCAAGTTTAGTTCCTAGTTGAATGGAAGCGAAGTGGGATAATTATAGAATATTGGCCAAATTAGCCCATCACGAATTTATATCGGGTGATCTTCGTCCAACAGCCGGCTCGTGAACAAATCCGGTAAGCCACACCCCAGCCTCCCCCATAGCTTCCCACAGCTTCCCACAGCTTACGGGGTGCATGGACCACTGCTTGATTTCCTGATAACACTGATAAAGGGAATCATGGGGAAGTTATCTCCACTTTTATCTAAGGCTAGGTTGCTGACCTCATCTGGAAGATGGACAAAAGGGAAAGGGTCCCTTTGATGCCGTGTCTTGGCAGCCCGGGGATCCTTGAGATTTTGCATACGCTAAGCACGCAGACCCCACTAGATCCACTATCGACGCTAATGGGAGCTTGCCGCCCTCGACCAGAGATTGGCTAAAATCTCGCCCTCCATCATGAATTAATTCCGGCCAGACAGGGACTAGCTTCCGAGCTTGAGCCAATCCCAAGTCTAAACCCTTACTTTGTCACATCAACTAAGATTCCGGCTAAGCCCGCTACTGGCGCCAACTTTCTCTGAGCCTCGAATCAGCGAGCTCCATTACCCTTTACTTCTCAACTTCTTCCAAGGACCTCACAACGATTTACCTAACATATCCATCTGATTGGTTCTTCCTCAAGCCCATCTCATATTTCGAAATATTCACCGGTGCCACAGCAACGTCCGGACTAACTAGGAAAATGACCAACCCGAACATGTGTTTTCCATGCCCAAGTGGATTGCTATCGAAATTGGCCCCGAGTATTGGGAAAATACATGCTCGTCGTTTTTCGTTCGGCTGGGAGCATTTTAGAGTCGGCGCGACTCTTATTAGTCCCGACCTCGTCGTTCCGTCGTGGGCAGGGTGTTTGCAAGGCCGGACCCCCGTGGCCCTGCTGCCCGGACGGCCACTGGTTTATACTGATGGCCAATCCCACGCTTGTATTCATAGATTTACCATTCATTGGCGGGCGAAAACGATGTCTAATGGACGCTTGAGGTATAAAGAAATTATACTATACGGATACTACAGAATCTAGTTCCTCCTTCCTTGAAGAGCAAACGAGAGTAGAAGCTCGCGATCGAGGGCCTGGCTCCGAGTTCGCAAAATTCGACCTAGTTTATTGACGGGCAGCTTATTACTCCAGCCCAGCAGCTCTCCACCCGGCGATATGTTATCCAGATGTAGCAATGAGCTAGGGTTGGCGTATGTATGTGCAAAGTACTTCGTACAATTCTACTCGAACTACGTACTACGTAGTAGTATACCTGCGTAGTAGACATGCGTACGGATTTGGGTTTTCGATGCTGCATATGCAACCAGTACTGATATGCAACCCGATAGCAAAGCAATCTATGATTATCGGTCAGCCCATGCAGAGCAACCACACCATCCGTGCTCCAATGGTCTATGCGAGGGCAATCGGCAAGCTGCCATGGCTCCTTGCATACATATTACTTATTGTCTTGAGCAAGTCGACACTTGGCACTCGGCTCAACATCGAAAGTCCACACGTGGGGTTCCTCTCTCGTGGTTCTTCTAGCACAGCATGTCTATCATCAACGTGCAAACTTAGCGAGGAATGCGTGACAAGCCCAAGACACGGCCCAACCGTCTCCGCTCGAAGATGGGAAGTGGCATGACGGAGTTCCTCGAGGGAGAGAAAGTAGCCTCTCCTCTCGTAAAAGTCGTAAAAGTACCACATTCCGCACCCCCTCTCTTTTCCGTGCCTCTTCTCGACCCGATCGACGCTAATAAACCCCTGCGGCTTTCAATAAACTCGAAGACCCCGGCTTGCAGGGCTTGCTGACGGCAAGGATGGATACAGGGCTGGCAAGGTCACACACTCGCGCACAATTAGAAAATCTGCAAGTGCTGGCGGTGGTTGTCAAGACCCCATGTCTTCCCTATACATGGGGGGGATGCACTACGGTGGATCGGACTTTCGAGCGGTCGTGCCAATAACCGGCAAGCCACGTATGGGAACTGCCTCTTTTAGTCGCTCGACGTTGCCTAATACCCTACCAAATAATCCTTGCCATCTGCTTGCAGCCCACCGTCTTCCGCCAGTGTCACCGAGTGGTACAATGCCCTTGTACCGCTATTTTTTTTTTTTAATTCTTTTTTTTCGAGGAGGGTGGTTGGTCCAGGTGGTCGAGGATACCCACCTTCATCCGGGTGACTCGACCGCGGTCCATAGAACCGGCCAAGCTCATTGGCATCCGCAAGCGCATATCCGGCTCAAGTCACCACGTCCTACCCCAAAATGGGCTAATTTGCATATGTAGTAGCCTGCAGCGACCAGTAATTAGGCCAGAAAAGTCATGGGTTAAAAAAGGAATTACCCCAAATTGCGTATGTTGCTATTTTTGAACATAGCCGTCGACGCTACACCAGTTCACGACGCAGCTAAGGTGGTGGCCAAAGAGGACGAGGCCACGATATAAGTCCTCACACCTCCAATCCACAGGAGCGTTCTTTTTTTCGAGATAGAGTTGTGAAGGGTTAAAGATTCAAGTGTCGTTCCAATTTCTCCTAATTAGTTTCCTCTCTCTCCCCCCTTCTCTTTTCCCTCAACTCTCGTCCTCCCTATAACCTCTTATTCCCGCTAAACTCGACTAACGTGAAAGGCAAGCTGGTACTTGCTTGGATCCTATCATTCATTCGACGAGAAAATAATATTAATTTTGACGATTTCCGAAATTTACTCCGTGCCGGCCTTATCTCCACTCTGCGGATTATTATTCACCGGGCACGAGAACTTGAGCGTTGAACGTTTTTGGGCAATTACTGGCTTCGAGGCGCACTCTCTAAAGCAGACCCTAGCAACCTCGACCTGGACCTAGAACTAGGGTCCCTGGCTCCCCTGGTCCCCTCCCGCTTTCGCTCGGCTTGACCAGCATAACCCCCCCCCACCACTACCATCTCGACGCAGGTACCTCAACTCGACATAAGATACAAATGGCATCTCTACCCCCCAACCCCCAAGGAGACCTCATGAGAGCAGCAAACGTCAACATGGCCGTCGCACAACCGACTAAGTCGAAGGCTGCTTCGAAGCAAAGCAACAATGCCAACCCTAAAGCAAAGTCACAGATGCACCGCCGTTCAAGAACAGGTTGGTACTCCCATATAACTGACTTACACGACCACTTACACCGGCTCGGCCTTGGTCCGTGTGTAAGTCAACTTAGAATAGCAACACTAACAAGACCCCTTTTCTATAGGCTGCTATACCTGCAGATTACGACGAAAGAAGTGCGATGAGGGCACTCCCATGTGCACAGCATGCAAGCATCTCGGTCTTGAATGTGAATACAAGCGACCGATGTGGTGGAGCAACAACGACTTGAGGCGACATCACAAAGACAACATCAAGACGATCATCAAGCGAAAGAAGCTCACCGAGAAGGCCTCCCACACCATCCAGACCTCAGTTAGTTCGCCGCCTGGCTTGTCGCACTCCCTTCCTACCTCTGCGACCTTCTCGGACCCTCTGGATCGAACGAGGTCGGCGTCAATCGACTCGCAATTCGCCTTCAACTTCAACAGCCCGCCCAATGTACAGGACTATGGGGCTTACAACCCACACATACTCCCGTCGCATTCCGACTTCATGTTCAACATGTCTCCCTACGAGATTGACGTCAAGACCGAGCGACAAATGTTTGTAAATGACGTCCCTACCTTAAGGGAATCAACAGTTTCAACCTTCAGCACTTTCCACACGCCACCGCCGCCAGGAACTGTCCTTCCGTCCTACCCCATGGAAGGAGAATGGGCCGAGCAAGTTTTCCAGGAACGTCGCGAGTCGCTAACTGAAGAGACATTAAACTACAACTTTTTTGATTTCTCGCACGGACTACCTACCAGCACCAGACAAGTCGATATCGAACTAGATGAGAATGACCAGCGACTACTAGAGCATTTCATTCAATTCGTGTTGCCAACTATCTTTCCCATCTTAGAAACTAACCAACACGGCTCCGTCGGCTCTGACCTCATCTTGCCTAACTTACAGAACAACAAGCCTTACCTTCACTGCTGTCTCATGATTGCAGCTCAACACTATAAGGCAACAATGAACGTCCAAGGAGAGGAGATTGACAACGACATCATGCGACACCGACACGCTACCATCGTCGCTCTTTGCGAAGCTCTAAACAATGATGAGAACCACCACCAGATCCTCGAGGCAACTCTAGGTCTCATCTTCTTCCAGTCCTGCGTTGGCCGATATGACGATTCGCTCCCTGACATTCCCTGGCACCAGCACTTCCAGGCCGTAAACTCTCTTGTCACGAAATTGGATCTGCCCCGATTGGTTTCCGACTCGTGCGAGCAGCTCCCCCAAACGCCATTTAACATGACGTTGACCGCGTGGATCGATATCCTAGGAGCAACTATGCAAGGGAGAGCCCCAGTTTTTGCACACACCTACCGCGAAAAACATCTGTCTACCACTAACCCATTCCTTGGACTTCGCGAACTCATGGGCTGCGATGACCACATCATGTATCTCATTTCCGAAATCGCCTGCCTCGAGGCCCTCAAGAAGGAAGGAATGGATGACATTACCCTTTGCCAGCATGTACACGCTCTTGGCGACCAGATTGGGTTGACTGAAACCCATGACAGCGCACCCAAGATGCCCTTCAACGCCAATGGCTCTCTTAGCCCGAAACAACTCAGCAAGAACATCACCAGCGCCTTCCGATTGGCAGCTCGCATCTACCTATGCAGCCTAGTTCCCGGCTTCTCCCCCAGCCAGGCTAGCTGTGTTGGCCTAGTTGAGAAGCTCACCACTGTGCTACAACTTATTCCGTCCGGTGCCAGTGGCTTCGACCGAAGCCTCTCCTGGGTCTACCTGGTCGGCGGATCCGTCAGCGGAATGAACTCTAGCTTCAGACAATTCTTCAACGACCGCATCGCTCAGCTAGGCGATGCTTCTAACTACGGCAGTTTTGGTGGCGTTGTCTCGCTACTACACGAGGTCTGGCAACAGGCCGACAACAGCCAGCCGAGTCCCAGTGCGAACGGGTCCACAGAAGCGCCCTACATCTCCTGGAGAGACGTTATGCAGATGAGGGGATGGGACTACCTGCTGATCTAGATTGATCATGTCCCTCAAAGCTGGTCTCGAGGAGAGTAGTCCCTCTCCTCATCTGCGGGTGGCCTTCTGGGGGCGATGCAGGAAATTGCCGCCCCCTTCGCACTGCGACTACGGTCGACTACAACATTTTCTTTAAATTATTACTATCATAATACCCAATAGAGAGAGGATGCCGCAAGGCAACCGGAACGACACTTGGAATAGGTGGAGATTAAGGAGCTTGGATATATCAACATAGTGGACGGCGGAGACGGGCCGTCACATTTGGGAGGTAATGAACCTTGCTATGGCTTATGAGTAAATGACGATTTCTTATTATTGATTCCCTTTACTACGTGTTTACGGCATTGTCGGATGGCTCTATATATACCATTGCATGCATTGGCAGAGGGGCATAGGAGTTTTGGGCAATTTGAGCCATTTGGGAGGTATGGATTCAGCATTTGGTTCTGGATAAAGGCCTAGCATCACTTGTCCCTGGAAGGAAAGGGGCAAACCAGGTTCATAGAGGACACCGTTATGAATGTCCTCGCCTCTCAACGTTTCTTAGGGACTAGAAACCCTAAGGACAATAGGAGAAATATTCATGTTTGTAGCATAATACCTAACACAATTAACGAATAAAAATTCAAAATTCAAAATAATTATTTTAGTCTTGGAATTTCTTTTACCTAGTGATTTGATTTACATCTATTTGCTAACATTAACCCGTATTCTTTGACTCATACTTGCATTAGACTAATTAGTCGCAACTAACAAAAATATTCAACTTAATTAGCTTTTTATTTTATTTTACCAGGCGTTTAAAAGAAAACCTGTAAAACAGAAGAAGAAAAAAACCGGACACCACCAACGACCCCGGAGCAAAATTTTTGCTATCCTTACCGGGCTTATACTCCACCGGAAAACTTGGGCATCTTTTTTTTTTTTACATAGATAGATGCAGAGCGGTGAACGGGAATGGATCTCGTGATCAATGAGTCAGGTGCTCAACGCCCCAACGACCGACGATCCCACATCGGTTTCACTTACATAGAAATCTACCATGTATGTTAGGCTAGTTACTTAATGTAGCTTTCTTCTTCTTCTTCTCCATATGTGTGCTCCATAGGCACATATGCAGTAGATCATTCATCCGTCCACGCAAGCGCGGCGGCCCGCTTCTCTGTCAATTTACCGTATGTAGCAACCCGGTCGAAGGAAAGGCTTTTTCGTTTTCTTGCAGTCCATGTCCACCTTATCATGTATGTAGTGTATGTAGTGTATGTAGTGTATGTAGTGTATGTAGTGTATGTAGTGTATGTAGTGTATGTAGTGTATGTAGTGTACGTAGCTATGGTGGAGTTTCACTTTCAGCTGCATTTGATATTTGACAATTACATACATTAGGTATATAACATAACATGCTTGATGCTTGATACTTGCATGGCTTTTGAGACCGAGTGCAAGGCAGATAGACGGTGGCGTTGGTGTCGCGTGAATGCGGGCAAATTTAAGACATGCACTTTTATAACTTCTAACCGTTACGTTAGGTACCTTACATACCTACCTCCTGTAGATACCTAGATAAAAACACTGTATTACTGCTTTGCATCATCACATGTAGATCGCAAAACCACGCGAATTCAAAGATCTAAACGACTAACCTACATATTGCTGGGTATCATATAGTGGGCTGTGCGGACAATCAATGCGTCTAGACAGGGCTTTCATTGCTTCATGACGTATTGCCAGCTCGCTCTTCTACCCTTGACGAGCTGAGATAACTTTTTCATCCGATCTTTTCAACTTTTGAAACTTGCGAAGCCACGCAAAATGCCCTCACCTATACTAAAAATGTACCTGTTGGTGTTATTGAACTAGACAGGGGACTTTTCGGCACATGAGTAGGGTAAACCAGGATTTTGTCATCTCGGCCGAGAATGAGACCATGGATTGATTGATTGACTGATTAATTGATTGCTTGCTTGTTTCTCCGCCGGCAAGCGAAAGAGCTGATGCGTCATGCATAGGCGGTCTGCACTTGATGGATCTCGTGTAGGAAAAGTCCATCTATGTACTACTAACAACTCCGTCGGCCGCTTCGCACCGGTCATCTCGACCCGACAAAATCCAAGCCCCGTATATTGTTTTTTTACCCGCAGGACGCCCAGTGGCGTATGTAACTACTACATACTGCGGTGAGGATCGTCACTTGGAACGGCGGTGGAATCTTCTGCAACAAAAACCGGGCAACACGAGCTTGTGCAGGTACAAATGTCGCATACGCAGGAATTACCAACGACCCAGTCGGTTACGCAGGGGAGGCGAATCAAAGCCGTCTTCTTCGACTTTATGGGAACGTGTCTAGATTGGCATAGCGGAGTCACCAACACTTTACCGGTAGCTATAGCGGAGGCAACCCGCTCCAGATTGGCGCTTGATTGGCGCGAGGAGTTCTTTAAGGAGCTGCACGCTCGGTCCCAACAGGGCCTACCGCCTGAGGATATTGACATCACACATCGAAAAACTTTACTTGGAGTCCTGGGTTGGGATATCTACAAGGAAGAGCGCTGCCATTTTGTTGGGCTCGACAACGACGGCGGGCCTACAGGTGTTGTCGATGTTGTTGCCCCGGACGGCGGCACGGCTGCTATCGAACGCGCTGTGCGTTCGTGGCACAGTATGGCTCCATGGTCGGATGTTCGCCCTGCGCTAACCGCGCTGAAGAGCAAGCTAGGGCTGGAGCTATTTGTACTTGCCAACGGGACTACGAGGCTCCAGCTCGACCTAGTCCGATCTTCCGGTTTAGATGGTATCTTTAGCTTGTTGTTCTCCAGCGAACTTCTAGGCGTCTATAAACCGGCGCCGGAGGCCTACGAAAAAGCGTTAAGGCTGGTGAAGGTCCGGCCGGATGAGGCCGTCATGGTCGCAGCCCACGCATACGATCTCAGGGCGGCGAAGGCCCTCGGTATGAATACGATGTATGTGTATCGTTGGACGGATGACCGTAGCGAGGATATGGATGTTGTTAGAAGAGAGAATGATATGTTCCTCGGTGAAAGTGAGAACGGAATGGAAGGGTTGTATTCCGCTATCGAGGCCTTGAATTAGGTCTCTAAGTAAAAATTGCTAACTATGTAGTTCGCATCATACATTCTACCAACAAACAGCCTTGCGGTAGGTCGCGAACCAGGTCTCTCGGTTCAGAGGATCCGTGGGCTGTGAGCTTTTGGTAAACGAATATGTTGTGCATGAGGCCTCCTGCCGACGGATTATTGAGGATTAAGCGGCTCGTGTGAGTTGCATTTGAAGAAATGAGGCGCACACCATCGTCATAATTAGGTACAGCACGGCCCGAAGGGTTGGTTCTGTGTTATACTTAACATGCCTAGGTAGAGATGAAAAATGTTGTGGTGGTGGTCTGCGCCTCCAGTCCCGGTTTCTATAAAATGCCGACCGGTAACTCTCAGAGTGAAGTACACGAGTACCTAGTAACAATAGAACCCCCCCCCCTCTCTTTTCCCCCCGGGCTTACAGGTAGGATTTAAACTATAGCGGGTCTTTATTAAGGTCTTACAGGGATTTAGTATTCGCGCAATCAGCGTCTAGATTTGCTAGATTCAAAGCCAAATTAGGAAAACCCTAGTTTTAGTCTAACTGTGCTGGCCAATTAGACACGTATTTCCCACTTTGTCGCGCCTAATTTGAAAGTCGTACTAATACTTTAGACCAATAAGATATTTCAAACTTCTTCTCCTTCTCAACCGCCGTAACTGGCGCCCCTGTAGCCGCCCAATGAGTACGACGTTCAAAGAACGACTATGGGCGATTCGCCTCATGAGAGCCTCTCGTTTTAGAGATTACTTCGTCGCTTAATACCCGCATTGCCTCATCGCGAACATACCTGTTCGCCTAGAATTTGTTGCGTCCACTCAGTATACTCGAATGAGTAGTGCTACGTAATTTATGTAGCGGCTAAGTTAGATCTATTCTGCATCTAACTCTACCATCTCGTCATCTTTGGGTGAAGATATCCAGTCGATCACCCGCTCCCTGCCGCATTATATCGGGCGTCATGTCGAGTACCCCATCAGGTCGCATCTGTTGGGCTAGAGAAATCGTCGTCGCTTAAGTCACGCGATAGAGAATGATTGCCAGCTATGCCATCTATGCTGTTCGGGCCACTGGGGGCCAAAGGGACGAACAATGGTCGAACAAAGTGGAAACAAAGATGTCAAGGAACGAAACATGATTCATAGGCCGGGCATCAAAATTCACTTGTCATTGCTAGGCCATTGCGTTGTTCGTTTTTTTGTCCCATGTCTATTCACCCACACCTTTCATAGTCATTCGACTGAATACTCGAACGTATTCATTGTCTCCGCTTGGTTACTCTTATTACTATTTCTAACTCACCCCCCCTGCCTATCTTAGTCTCTGACTGGCTTTTCTGTGATTGAATTTGCTCTTTTGATACCATAGATATTGTCTTCTACCACGTCCTAGTACATACTTTCACTTTCTTATTCTATCTACATAATTATCTCTTGGCTTTTTATTTCCTTAAGTTATACCTCAGCACTGTAGCAACATCTATAAAAAATCAGAAAACGTCGTATTCCATCATAGCTGATCACCCCATGGCGTATCTCTGGGGTCCTCGAAGGGCTTTACGTCTCGCGGCGGTGCTTGCGACGACTGCTTCAGCCACATATATCAGACCGAATATCCTGCTCGAGAGAGCCGATAGCACCTGTGCCGCAGACTTTACGAAATGCGCATTATCAGGGCTGCCAGAAAACTTCTGCTGCGAACCGGATACGACGTGTATAGCCCTGGCCGGCAACACGACGGTATTATGCTGTCCGAAAGGCAAGACTTGTAACAAGATAAATCCCATAACATGCGATCTTGCGTTACAAGATCCTGCCACAAATCCCGAGGCCGAAATCAAGACGACGGCACTGGATGGAATTCTTGAGACGTGCGGGACGGGAACTTGCTGCCCATTTGGTTATCATTGCGATGGTACGATATGTGTGAAGAACACCGATCAGAGTCAGAAGCCGGAAACAAAACCGAGCTCCATAAGCACGTCTGTACCAACTTCTACTTCCTCACCTGCCTCGGCATCCAAGACAACGACGGTGGCTGTAAGTGAGATAACGTCCGCCACACCACCTCCCACGTCGCCCACAGCACCTACCGCTCCAGATACCGAGCCGACCGACGAACCAACTAGCGAGCCGGTTACTGAGGCACCAGCACCGTCAACAACGGGCACGGCTGATACCGTGAAAATTGTCGGGGGAGTCATAGGAGGTGTTGTTGGCTTCGTCTTCATAATCCTAGCCGTCATTTTCGCGCGGTACAAGCGTAAGAAGCAACTCCAGAGGCGGGAGCAATTGCAGCGCCACGACTCTACGTCATCCTTCGGCAACATTATCAGTGCGCCTGTGCCTCATGCTAAGTATCCGAACGAACGCATAGACTTTCTAGCGAAGCAGCCCCAGTCCAGTTCGCCTCGGAGCTTCACGCCGTCGTCTCCGACGGCCGTAGCGTCGCCCGGTAGTCATCGGAAGCCCGATGAGGGATATGGCGGTTTAGGGTTTATGCCGCCGAACTCGCCCTACTCGCCGTATGCACGGCGCCCGGATAGTGAGATGTCAGACGTACCACGCAGCTACCATGCCTCGGCCGAGATAGGTGGGCTCCGGAGCTTAACAGGCTGGAATACGCATCAGCAGAACGGCGGCGGGAATATTAACAATTATTCTCCCGTCCCGGCACCTCTAGTCACCCTAACACCCGCACGGGATGGTACTATAAAGGGAAAGGGGAAGAACAAAGGGAAGGGCAAAGAAAGGGCTCGAGGCAACGAAGATGAAGACATGAGTATTAATATCTTTGCGGACCCGCGCACGGTGGCAGATGGCAGGCCAGATAGCTCCGTGACGACGTGGTCGAATATCCAGCAGCGGGCTGATAATAATGGTAATGCGACGCCGGTCAGGGGGCAGACAAGGTTGGGAGACGAACTCCCGAGATGGAGGTGATAGACTCCATCGAGTATTACCCTCACGATACGCATAGCAAGGCGGGCATACCTTTTCTCCTTTTTTTCATCTAAGCTAAGCCGATCGCTTATCTTTATTTTCCTTTGTCTTGATCCAGCAAAAATCTAGGATTCGGGAGGGACACTTTTATCATGATACCACTGGGCGGACAGGCAGGCAGAATAAGCCAGGCGGGTTTGCATTGTACGGCGTTGGGAGGGAAAGTTCTTTTGCTTTTTTATTATTTATCTACTAGTCATAGTTTGGAAAAGGAGGGATGAGTTTGACACTTTGCTTCCGCGGACATACGATACGATACGCACCCTTCTTCGCAGAGATCAGAGCAGAACATGTATATTATATAGGTTAGGTACCTTAGTGGTATATTACGGGGGTGGACAGTGCTTTGATCGGCTGTTATTATGCCCTTTAACTATGTGCCTGGCTGGGTGCGCCCTATGCATAGGTTAATATTACTTTCGCTTCTATATGCTTTGGGTTTTTATTGATAGGGATGTTGTCTTCTGCGTGATACCGTGTTTTGCAACTATTCCGGGTTTGATCCATTTAAGTGTCTATCACGCGTGGAAAGGGATAACAACCGACTGGAAAAAAGTATTTATTCTCAAGTTATATAGAGGGTAGAGCAAAAGCTCAACTAAATACCTCAAGTACTCTCCCATGTAAATAAGGCACAGAGATTAAAATCTCAAAAAACAAGAACCGAATCGCGGTTCGTCTTAGTATGCACACATTTAAAACCCAGCCCAGTTGATGTAGCATGGCAACTTTTCGTACAAGCGTCTCAGAGCCCATCTCAAAGTACGACTCCTTCTTCTTATATTCCCATTAATCGTCCATCAACAGCTCATACATCTTCATAATAGCCGACCACCCACGATACAAATCCAAAAAAAAAAAAAAAAAACCACTCTCAACATATTTTTCGGTTTACTAAAACGGCACCAATACTAACCCCCCTTGGCCCGACTCTCCAGAGCTAAGGCTCGTACATAGTAAGAATACGAAAACTTTTTAGGGAAACGAACAAGAGCTATTCATTGCTTCTTCTTGCTGCTCTTCTCAGTCGTCGGACTCGACGGACGACCGCCATTGCTAGTCTTCTCCATATTCTCGTACTTCTCGTACTCCTCGTCGTCCTTACGCTCAGCATACCACTGACCCGCCTGGAGGACCAGCACACCAACAAGCACCAGCGCCAGAATCGTATTGCTCGCAGCCAGGACCTTCAGACTATCCTCGCGCCCGAGAATGATCTCACCGCCGGTCAACGGGTCGCCGGCACCGGCGCCAGGACGGCCGACGCCAACGGTAGTCGGGTCGAAGTCGTCGGACTCCCAGGCGCCGGCGCTGACGAGGCGCAGGCCCTTGACGATGTTAGCGACGTAGACGCCGACGCCGATCAGGTAGAGGACGAGGGAGGCGCCGTCGAACAGCATGTTGGACTCGGAGGCGCGGAACAGCTTGATGAAGAAGCCGAGGAAGCCGACGCCGACCATGATGCTTAGGATGCGCGCGATTAAGGGAGGCGACTGGTGCATGAACTTGAGGTGGATTTCGAGCTGGTCTAGGTACGCGGCCGAGATGGGGTCTTTGGTCCATAGCAGCGGGAAGTCGTACGGGAACATGGCGAAGAGGATTCCGAGGAAGAAGCATGTTGCTAGAGGGGAGGAGACATGTTAGTGTTGTTGTATAGCAGGCCTATTTGTTTGTGTGTATTTATTAAGATCATTTTGCGCCGCGGGGTTAAAGCGACAGCACAGCGCAGCGCAGCAACGATAGAGAAGCAGGATATACATACGTCCTATAATCATAAAAGTCGCAAACGACCCAGACCCGCGATAGTCCTTAGACCGGGTGGTCTTATTCCAATCTACCCACTTATCCGACATGGCGACCTGCGATGACGATGTTTGCGACGCGGTTTGGTGGGAGGTTTAGAGGCTACGTAATGGATAAGATAGGTACCTTAGGAGGTAGGTAGCAGTTGTGTCGGTGGGAAAAGATAAAAAAAAAAAGAGGACGTGCGAAAAATGGTTGATACACGTTTTTAGTGCGAATTGACTTGTTTTATAAGTTTTCACCGTTGATCAATTAAGAAAGTAGGTGGCATATCGTGTTTGCGCTGTTTGCCGCGGCTGAGGGGAGAAAGCTGAGAAAATGTGATTGCAGTGCAAATGAAGTGTACCTAATCTAATCTGTGCAAGGCTGTCCTGTCCCTAAGGTACCTATACGTGTATGCATTTAACGGGGTATTCATATTCCTCTAAGAGCGTCACTTGTAAAACTCTCCGTCGATAGCAAAGTCGCGTATATCGATCGTGTCTATCAACCTACTATCTCAGCTTCAACTATATAAGTGTGATGCGGGATTTTTGACCGTCCCATTCATCCAAAAAGTTTGTTTCCAATTCTAGACGCCCGATTCGTTGAAACCTGTTATCTATATCACGCTTCAATATAAGACAGAATATCCAGTCCCTTTTCCCCCATACTGGAATAAGGGTGTATACGAAACGCCCCATCTCCTTGTGCGCTTGCCGATAAACCTCATATTCCAAGTCTGAAGTATCATATAATATATAGGTACGTGAATCTGACTCAGAAAAGCACTGGCTTCGAGCTTCATCGTAATATACCCAGTTATACCATATGTTGTCCTCGAGATCTGCACACTCTAATACAAGGTAGCAAAGCATACACTCGATGTCGAGCTCCGCAGAGCGAAGCAGTCCAAAAGATTCCCCGTTAGGTAGTTCAGGCACGATCCGCTCCTCAATAAGTTTGATATGATTTAATACATCACATCCTATATTCAGCTCAGCGAATTCCACATTACTTCCTGTGATCGAAGCCCAACTCCACGACGGCGCATACTTGCTACGTCGGACTTGAGGTGTAGAGGGTTCAGTAGCCCATGTAAGCCAATAACTGAGATTGCCTTTCCATAGGCCAGCCATGTATGTGTCGCCGGTGGCTTCCTGGAAAGCCTTCGCGATGCCGGACACAGCAACCAGTCTATCAGACTCTTTTGTAAGCCCACACTTTGTGTAGTATTCCACAATTTGAGTCCAGTGTTCACATAATGTTTCTGATCTCTCTTTGTCGTGAGGGGGAGGATACAATCCGGTAGTATTTTTTTCGAGTTCATGGAACAGCAACCCTGCTTTATTACTCTTAGTATCTGAATACTTTGTCCTGCCCCTTTCTAGATAGTCTAGATATTCTGGATCTTCTAGGTTTTCAAATATCGATTTAACTTCGCAATTGGTGCCCTTCCGGCACCCCCAGAAAATCTGATCTTCAGAGAAGTAAACAGTACGCGTAGCTAGAAAGCGTTCTTGTACGACCCAGCCACGTTTGTTGAGAGGCATTTTCTCGACTTCGTCCCCCCACCTCAAGATATCCCATGCCCACCATAGTCGGCCGTCTATGTTCGCCGCAAGCGGATAGTAGAGTCTCTCACGAAACTTTCTTCGCCTAAAAAGGCCGATATTTGCTGGGTCGGATGACGCAAAGCCCGCCGATATATTACAATGTGAGTAGCGGTAAATATCTATCATCGTACTGGCCTCTCGTTGCCATTCGCTCTCTGAATCCTGAAAGATGCACAACGAGTCGATCCAAATATATCTATAGCCGAGACGTTTAACAAGAAGCGCTGCATCGTGGAATGCTGGCCACGTTCTGTTAATCGGCGGTAATTCATCCAGCCTAACGCCCTTACGAAGCTGTGCCTCTGTGTCTTTAAGAAGCCGTGGCATCTCATCAGTGTTTCCCCAACGATGAGATAATGTCCAGTATACGGGATATTTATGCACAGTATTATGCATAGTATCAGGTTCGGTTGATGTTGGGAGGCGTGCTTCGTTATCGGCACCGAATTGAACCATGACTTCGGCTCTATCTCGCAGACATATCATCCCATCGTCGGCTTTCTCAACGTCAATCACTCGAGTCGGGAAGAAGGTGCTAGTGTCTAAACCAGATGACCTATGATATTTATGGGTTGAGCCACAAGACTTATGGTTAGCTTGGCAGGATGATATCCACTGACGTATCTTTCCTAAAGATTCGTCAGACCCTATGCTAGGGCCGAGGGTAGACCAAGGATGGGCCTCAAGATCACTTAATAGTGCACAAGATAATGTTTTAATGTTCTTTGGTTGTACTAGAGGTTCTGTAACGACTAGATAGCTTATCAGTATATATATATATTAAGGTGATAGGTTATTCTGATAGTATTTTATACCTACATTCGACAATTAAGGTGCTGGCCCAAGAACTCTGAATATCAAAAATTGCGTTGTGATTGTGGTCAGTATAGGCGCTGATACTAAACTTCCCAAACTCGTAATCATTATTGACATCCTCTATACCTTGCTTGATCTGATCTGGAGGCTGATGCATTGCCCATAACAAAAAGCAGATGAAACACCCGCTTTTCTCACTCGCTATAAAGTCGCGATAACTTTGGTATAATTTGATCGTGAAACCAGGTTCAGGTTGGAAAGTAAGTCTGCATCTGTCACATACCTTTCCTTCGTCACTTTCCATGATCGTATAGGAATGCCAGATACCGTCGTATGGTAGGCGAATGCTGAACTCTAAGAACCGTAGACTAAACCCGATATTCAACGAATATTGGGAATGATAAGTTGTTCGTTAGTTACTAGAGAGCGTTGGCAATTTTTCTTCTTTACTTTGTAGGTTTCCGTTTTCAAAGAAACTCCGCAGTGGCGTAGACGAGGAGGCTTAGACCAGACATTGCCCGATGATATCTCTTACAAGATTTCGTTAGCGGATGGAATTAACCAACCACGACAGCTGTTCCTATTCTCTCAAACTGTTTAGAGAAAGCAGCCTAGGCAATATCGGCCCACGCAGTATTGCTACCTAATGGCTTGCAATATGGATGAATAATGACTCTCATTGATTCGCGGAATTGGTATGACTGGCATAACGTGGCAGGGGGCGATGCTTCTTATGTTAAACCCCAATTCCTGTACGATGTACTACGCCTCCACCACCCCAATAAGTACGATAACCATAAAGCAAGTAGGTGTCGGTGCATAAATCCCGCAGTAAGAGCCTATAGAAACCCTATCTTGTGATCTTGAAACGGCACCGCATTGACCGAATATTCACCGTCGAATAAGATCCTGTAACCTGTGAGATTATGATGTTAGGAGCCTAACTTAGTGAGATTCCTATAGCTACACCGAGTCAGCCTCAACTATAGAAGAGGGATTCGCGCTTAGATCGAGATAGAAGCATGAAGGGGATGCATAAGATTCGTTGGCATATGACACTCTTATTGACTGAAAATTGCTTATGGTCCAATTGTCTAGCCCACGTATTATACGTGATTCTTTCATACCCCCTCATTACCCTCGTCCCATATCCCAAGCCCATTCGTAGAAAATAAATTAGTACATTCCTGGAAATATAGACATATACTAGACTAATCTTTTAAATGGATGGGCCTCCGTGTTGAAAACCCATTCGTCCAAATTAATGAGATCGGGCTCACTGAAGATCAAATAGAAATATCTATAGCCCAGTCGTTAGCCGCGGTCTATCTATGACATAGCCAATCTAGACAAAGTGGAAGGAAGAGGGAGATAAATCAACTTACTTCAAAGTTTCACCCATCCAAAAACTTTCCATAGAGTCCATTTTCGGAGGATCGCCATGAACCGTGACATCCCCTAGAGCCGCATTCGCGAACGACGTCTTGGTATTCATCTGGATAGAATCGAACATAACCCAGGCCGACTCAAGTAGGTCTGGGCGACCGGTGGCTCGATATAGAATAAACACGCTCTCTATGGCTTCCGGCCGTAGGAGATAACTTGAGTCGGCGATCTTCGTGAACCCCTTCGGAAGTCTGGACTGAGCAATTATCTCGTCCGCCTTTTCCATGTTATCCAGATCCTGCTCACCAGCCTCCCGCAGAACAGCGCGTTTCCACACCAACTCATCCCATTCACATTCCTTGTCTGACTTGCAAGGTTCCATGACGAAGGTCTCAGGCATTATTCCAAGCGGCATCGCATTGTACGTCCAAATACACCCGTCCACCAACTTCGTGGCCGCTTCTAGATGTTCCGGTTTCTCGAATAGCTTTCCGCCGACTGCGAGCATCCCGCCAGCGAAGCAGACTAGATGCTGGCCTTGGTGCTCTAAGTTTAGGGCTTTCTTCCCGTCTTTACTCCCTATATGCACGGTACCTGATATCAGAATGTCCGCGGTATCCGGAACCATGGGCCGGAAGAGAAGATGCTTAAGAGCGGTTTTCATCGAGTTCTCGTACATAGACTGGTATGAAGGCATAAGTCCACCCGTCATAGCGTACATCTTCGGCAGATACTCATAAGTGCTGTCTGCGAGAGCCCCGAGCCCAAACGTGGTATCGCTGTTGAAATTCACATCTCGAGGATTAAGCGCGAACGGCCACATGCCAGGGAGCTGAGTGGTGCTCTGCTGCTCTTCGAGAGCCTTTCTGATTCTGTCGGCAGCATCATACCATTTCGGGTCCCCAGTCAGCATAGATAGACGCGTAAACTCCATGCTGAACGAACCGACCTCAGCAAGCCATTCCATTTCGGGTGCAACCTGTTTCCCTCCTTTCTTAGCATTCTCGAAGTCCCAACGAGATATCGGCATACGATTAGGCGTATCAAACGCCTTGTATAGCATATCTCCAACTTCTCTAGCCTTGCGTAGCAATCGTAGGTCGCCGCTTAAGTCATAGGCTGCAAGAAAACCTCCCAGATAGCGAATTGCAGTTTCGAAAGCATTTACAGTCTCAATCACACAGGTCGTAAAGTCAATGTTAACCGCAGCGTTTACAGCCTCCTCAAACTCGGACCGCATCGACATAATCCATAGGGTATCTAAGCTGTCGACCAATGTGGCCCCCCAGCCTCCAAACAACTCTTTGGATTTGCCGCTGATAGGAGCCAGCTCATCGCTCTTAAAGGCCCTAGATCTATAAGACTTCCAGCAACGGGCGAACGCCTTCTTAATGGTATCTTGCCGTCCCCGACGAATATTCGCATCTTTACTTGATTCTTTCCCAAATACTTTTTGAATCTTAGGAAGTGTACGTGGCTTGCCGGTTGGCAACTGTCTTATATCCTGGACGGGATAATGCGTGGTCACTTTCCGCCAGAAATAGTTATCATCTTCTATAGCCTTTGCGATAGACAGAGGATTTTGAGACGCGCTTCTAGAGCTAGTTAACCCGTAGCCATCCTGAGTGATCCAGGAATAGTAGAAAAAGAGGATAAGGGACGCGATGACGAAAGGGAACCAGACGCGTCGTCGTAATATCATCTTTGCGAGAAACTAGCTATCTTAGGTACCGAAATAAATAGAAATATATGAGATCGTTATATAAGGCATTGAAATAGCAATTGTTGAAGCAACTTTGTTGTTGTTGTTGTCGTCAGAAGGTAACCAGTTTTACATAGTTAAGGGATGAAAAGATATACTTAGGTTCACTATTCTCTAAGCCTCATTCTCCCCTGAAGTCGCCTGTAGATTCGGGTAGTGATGAGCACCCCGCGTAGGTACGTACCTATGTGACTGGTCTTATGTAATACACGTTTTACTCGTATTTCCTTCGAATTGAATTGTGTCTAATGATTCATCGCGTTTTCATACTTTCACACATTCAACAATACGAAACTCAAATTGTGATAGAAATATCAAACTTTACTTACTATTCTAAGTGAATTTCCTATGCCTATCAAATTAAGTTAATTTTCAACTTCAAAAGGTGGGATGTGCGATGTAATACTGCTTAAGAAATTGAGTGACCTCACTTATCGGAGACTTTGAGTGAGATGACGATCTCATTTCACAACAGCAACTCAATGCCGTCTCAGCCATTCTCCGAGAACACAGGAAATTGTTGGATTCACTCTCTTTTAACGACCTATGTACAACTGCTCTACTCACAGACATACGATACACTTCATATCGTCTATTCTCGACTGTTAATACATATTCGAATGTTGTCATTACGCTGTAAGACACATCATGCTAGGACAAGTCGGGCAATATACACTTCTATTTCTGATGGACTACGTATATTCATCTCAGTAAATATGACCATACTTATATACTACCAGAAAACGTGTGTAACAGCTCATCATCCTCTCATTTACCGGCTCCCGGGGAAGGGCAGCACAGCAACACCTCGCAAACCGTCTACACCTTTAGCCCGGATTCCAAACACGACATCATCTTTACTTAGTGACAATGTAGCTTCAACAGCAGAACCAACATCAAGCACACCCGTCCAAAAAGGTGCGCTCGTAGGACGCCACACCACCTCATAACTACCATCGTGTCCAGTAACAGGCGGATCCCAGTAGAGCGTGGTACTAGTACTCAGAGCCGACGTATCAACGCGCACATTCTGAGGTATCCCAGGCGCTGTCGCAAGACTCCACAGCGCAGCGCCGTTGACACGCGCAACACGCGCTACATACTCGAAGTCGACGAACTCAGGTAGGTCTCCGAACTGCTTCCCATCAGCGTCGACACGCACGTCTTGATGCTGATGCGCGTAATCCTCATGTGGCTCCGTGAACCGGGCTGCCGGGTATCCGGCCTCGAGGAAGGGCCGATGGTCGCCGCCGCGCAGGTAGCGGTCAAGGCGGTAGACGACGGAGACGTTCATGCCTGTGGCCGTATTTTCAGCTGTCTCCTTAACGAAGCGCGCTAGTTGGCGTGCCGGCGAGTCGTTCTCCCCGCCGATCGTGAGGCGCGTCTCCCGCGTCGTGCTGTTCTCGATCGCGAGGCCAGGCAGCCCCTGCGCGAACAGCCGTATCACGTACGGGTCTACGGATTCCCCATTCGTCCCGCCCTTCGGCGACCCCACGATGTCGTTCGTGAACATTCCTTCGACCTTTGGGGGTACGAGTGGAAATTAGTGTCAATCCAAATCTCTCATGGTTGGCTGAGGCTCATGCAAAGGGACGTAAAATTATGGTTTACATCGGAACGTCCAGAGACGTAATTGGGAGGGAACCCGTTTGAAGTTTTACAGGTTTCTACATCAGATACATCTATTCCAATCCAAAGGAAAATGTTAAACTTACATTAACTCTCGGCGTAGCATTGGCGTACGTCTGGGCCAGGAACTTCGCCCCGTAAAGCCCCTGTTCTTCGCCTGCGACGGCTACAAACGCGATACTCGCCTTCGGGCGAGGGTACTGGGGCTGCGATATGATCCGCGCGAGCTCAAGCGAGATAGCAACCCCCGAAGCGTCGTCGTCGGCTCCAGGGGCGTCGCTTTCATAATTCAGCGGATCCGAGACCCTCGAATCGTAGTGCCCGGACACAACGTATAGCCGGTTATCCTCAGTCCCATGTAGAGTCGCAACGACGTCGCTAATGAGCACCGGGAATAAGATACGGTTATTATCGATCTCCTGTGTATACCCTATAGTTTCGACGGTCAGCTTCCCATCGCTGGCGTCAGCGTACTTTTGGAACTCGGCATGGATCCAGTCGCGCGCCGCTCCTATCCCTCGCGTCGTCGAGTTTTGGATTGATAACGTATGCCGCGTTCCAAACGACACCAACTTCCGGATTGTAGCTTCGATGTTGGCCGGATCGACTTGCGCGAGTATGGACTCAAGATCTGCAGACGGCGACTGCGGTAAGTTTGGCCCGCCAACCGTATTCGGGGGCCAGCTTGATGCTAGACATGTCAATATAGACGATGGCTCCTCCGCTCTGGGCCTCAGGAGCACGTTGGCCGGATTACTCGAGGTGAATGGTGCTGCCGCACCGAGAGTCGCAGCAGCAAGCACCGCAGAGAAGGTAAGTTTCATAATAGCGATCGTATACCGAGAGTTAGTATATAGAACCGTAGATGAAACCCTTTATTTAAAGTTATCAATTATTCGTAATAGTTATAGGTATCTTAGACTTATAAGAAGACCCCTAGAAATTCTTGCGAACAATCTAGCGATGCCGGCAATTGCCAACTCCTCTCTCGCCACCGACATCATCGTCCCCGTCGATATCACCATCGCTAGCCTCCGCTCCGGCAGGCCTGCCCAGAAACACCGAAGATAACTATATGCAGCTAACTGACTACCAAGCTACCCCTCTACTCCAACTTACCTATGTATGACCGATGTTCTGATAACACAAATTGACCAATCACCAGCAAGCACGCAAGAGCTTCCTTTTTCCGCAACCACGGTATATACCATGTACGTACAGTAGTAGTAAGCTCCTCTATTAAGACGGGGTATAAGACTTGGCGGCGGCTCGTTTTATGGCCTTGCTATTCTGGATCTGGAAGCTGGAATGGAGGTTATGGGGAAGTGGATATAGGTTGCGTCGGTATTGGAGTGGCACCTCGAATAGGGATGATTCCAGTTGCATAGTAGTTGACTACGCTCTATAATTATCTAAAGAATTATGGGTAAATAGTGTGACGTTATACGCTTAATACCACAACTCCTATGCGCTAAGAGACTAAGATAACTGGATTTAGATGTGGTCACAATATTAATAATTAGTTAAATCAACGAGCCCATAGTCTGTTGGTATTATAAGTGGTGGTACTACGCTTCCGCAACATGCGCGCTTCATATATTAAATGGATTACCACTACAGTTATATTCAGTTTTCCCCAATCAGCTTCCTCACCTCCTAATCTCTTCCCCTTGGTATCATACGCGCCTAAGCTCTACTCAAATAGGTCTTGCGATCCTCCGCGTAGGATATCAAAAATCCTCCCAAGAACAAAAGAACAATAGAAACCTGAGCAATGCAAGGCGTCCCGCCTAATATGATATGGTATCAAATAGCAGGCTGGAAATAGAAGGACTGGTCGAAAATCGCTATGAAAAAAAGTCGGACTGGATTAGTAAAGGTCCGTCACCATCCAAAATCAAGATGGCGAATACAGAGGTAGCTTGCAACTTCATCTAATCCGTTTGAGAAGGGTAAGATGCAGCAGATGAAGAAGTTGTGGTCGTATCGTACAGTCATAGATCTCAAAACGCCGTGCTCAAACGTCGTTAGAGCCAACCGGTGTTAGCGCCAAGGGACAAAGAAAAGAAAGCCGCCCATGCCCAAAATTCCAGTTGCGTCCTAGAAAATGCGCAACAAGTCGAATCGAAAAGTTCTAGCAAACATTCGGAGTCAAAGCTCTACCATGTTTGGGTAAGTTAGCTGGTATAAATTAGAGTCCGTGTAGTCATAAATCCACACCGGCCCCTTGCGGAGACTGGGGGGGCCTCTTTAGAGTTAATTGGCTTAGGGAAAGGGTCCTGGCAGCCTTTTTCCTTGAGCCGTCTTGTTCCTCCACACGAAGCTCTTCGCCAAAAGCACCGAAGCCGTGGGTTGGCTCTTCCTCGCGGGGTGTTTTGTATGCTTCTGATTCAGTATCGATGCCAGCGGATAGGGGCTCATCGTCATCATCGTGATCAAATGCGGATACGGTGGAGTAAGTAGTAGAGGAGGTTTCGAGTTTGTTCGAAGTCCGCGCTACGAGGTTAAGCCTGTGGCCAAGCTGCGTCACCCGAGCCTCCAACGCTTGCCGCGCGTCTCTCTCGGTGTCTAATAAGGCCTTCAGAGTCACGTAATGATCCATAGTAAAGGGCCCCACATTCTCCCCTAGCAAGGTAGGGAGACTTGTCGCACCACGAATGGTAGAGTTAGACGTAGGGCGCGGCCGTCGCGGCGGTGCTGACGAAGGAGGCAACGATCCGATGAATGTATTTCCATCGCCAAACGAATCATTCGAATGCCGGGATAACGTATGTCTAGAAGAATCTTCTATATCGCCCAAGGATGTCATGTATCCTGATGTTTCTGCTGTCATGGGGCGTTTCGGCGTGTAAGTCGCGGATGCTCCTATAGAACCTCGAGGCCGTGGTTGATCGGGAGTAGCAGGTACATAATTGTTTACGCCCGGAATAACTTGGAATAACTGAGAGACTAGTTTCTCTAATTTCTGGTTACGAACTTCCAGAGCAACTATACGATCTTCAAGACCAGCTGCTTGAGTTATCTTCATACCCACCATTGGGCCAAAATGAAAGGGTTGTAGCGGTGTCTTGGGTGGTGAGAATTGCTGCTCTGGGGAGCTAGCCGGCGTCTCTGCGTCTACTTCCACGACGCCGGTGTTGTCGTCGTTATTAATGGTAGACGCATTAGGCGATCGGATGGCTGCATTATAACTTTCTCTCCAGTAGCGGATTTCGTCACTCCGCTTTCGAACTTGAACGTGGCCCGCTATAACATCCTGAAGTTGCGATAAACTTCTCGATCTGCGGCGGTGCGCAAGACTATCGCTCGTGATGGCACGGCCAATGCCATTGGGGTCATCTTCGGCGGATGTATGGTCGCCACGCCCGTGAGTGCTGGCAGGTCTAGGAGATAGACCTATTAACTCCCCATCAAAATCTTTTACGCGTCCGCTTAGGATCCTGTTTGATGATGCGGCTCTTCTTCGAAGTAATACCGGATCTATTTGTATTGAACTGTGGGCGCTAGTAATTGCCAACATATCATCGGGGCCGACAGAATGTGATCTTAGCGCTCTGTCGAATTCTGTAACTGGTAACGAGACGGATCGCTTCGACTCGTTTGTTTTTAGGGCTCGATTCGAAGCCGACTGGTCCTTAAAACATAGAGTTGTTAGAGCTTAACGGTCCTTAACGGAGCTTGATAGTAAGTTGTAGTTATGCTTACATCTTCATGTAGTGTAGAGTCGACCAGTCCTCCAAACCGAGACTCTGGGTTATATGCCTCGCTCGTACTCTTCTTCTTTCTCTTAAATAGTCTACCTAGTGTAGACTTCAGCGTCGACCTTTTCCGCAGTGGCCTATCTATCTCTACATCACCATTGTCGCTGACCATAGAATACCTTACGGTGCTAGAACGGATTGTTCTTTGCTGTTGCGGGCTTGTAGATGCGTTTGAAGCTTGGCTAGGTCCAGACTGTGTGACAGAGTCAGGCTTGTCCACCCGTGCGACCTCAGGAGGGGTCTGCCCAGGTCTCGAAGGAGGTCGGTCTTCGTTATGAGGCTCAAGCTGCTCCAATCTGCCTTCATGAGCAATACCTGAACCGGCGCCTCTAATAGGAAATTCGTCGTCTATTGGGATAGGACCGCTAATTCTACCGCGGATAGTAGCTTGGTCAGGCTGAGCTGTTTTCGGTCGCCCGACACTGGTGGCAGGCCTGAAGATACCCATATTGCTTGTAAAGCAAAATGCGGATTTCACGGAGTTGTTAGATTACAGATGTATCGAACGACGGGGAAGATGATGGGTAGATAATTGATATGGAAGTGAGGGCGACCAGCGATCCATTTCTCTTTTTTCAAAACATAGCAAGTCCAAATCCGCGATTAACCAACTTTGCTTAGGAAAAGAACCGCTTCCTGCATCTCACATCGCCAGCAATGCAGCTCAACAGGATGTGGGCGTCGAGTATACGAATCAAAAGTCGAGAAGGGTAAATTACCCTCGTCGGTTGTTTACTTGATAACAGTGGCAAAAGACAAACAGAAGGATAGGTTACAAAGAGACCTGAGCAGCCGAGCTAGTTTAAGAGGTGGGATACGAGAGGCCTTGGGGCCATTACAGCGCGTATATGTTGGAATGTATGTTCCTTGCGACGGCCGCACGCTCATGCATATACATAGTGAATGAGCGAGTGGGATGGCAAGGCTCTGGGGGGGTTCGAGCGGACGGGCGGTAAACATAGTGTAAGTACCTATAATCCTGGATGGATAAGTGTCAACCCATGAAACAACTACCAATGCATACAGGCGCCGGTGCGAAGGGGGGGGTTTAACTGCACTGCTGCAACAATGTCTAATGAGAGATCGGCTCCAAGTAACAGAAATGGCAGAAACAACAATAGCTAGGTCCGCAAGAGAGCTCAAAAAGGGACTAGGATAGCTAGGATAGGTCGGGATGACGAAGGACCAGGGCGTTGGAATGCTCTGATATTGGCCCCAGGGGTTTTGTAGTGGATGTGGATGAACCCTGTTAGGACCTGCAGGTGCATTCAAGAGGTCCGTGTGTTCATCCGTCCGTGTGTTGGCTGAGATTGTCTTGACGGACTGAATAGTTTATTGGCGTGCGTCTTTGCATCTCGCGTAGGAATAAGACGGGGAGGCGATGAATGGTTGTGACATGAAGATTTTGAGCTGTCACCTGGCATCGTATCGGAGCGCCAACTACATTACTTCATTGTCTCAGAGATTGTTGTATCAAAGAGAGCCACGAATTCCAGATAACTAGGTGAAGATGTAAATGTAAGGATATCATAAGCAGATAATTATAATAATTGTATATTTCATAAATTAAGATAGGGATTAATAGTAGACTTGACAGATTAGATGGACTTGCCTGGGCCTGCCTGGGCCTGCTAAGCTTAGGGTTAACATAGTACCGTACTATGTACCTAGCAGCTTCCTAGCTACAGTAGTATTTGATTTAAAGAATTGTCCAGGTGCTTTCCCCCCTACAGGGGTTGAGGAGTACGACCGGATAGGCGCATACTCAAGCATTGGAATGGGAAGCCACTTACAACGTACTTAAACGCCTAAACGCAGGTATCTAGGTACCTAGGTACCTAAAGGTAGGTACCAATAGAACCAAGCTACGGAGGCTCTTTCCGGTTGGGGGTATACAACCGTTTCGTTTAAACATTCGCATCTTACGCTGACTCGGCCTCGGGTTTAACCTTCATTTGTACATATTTATATAACTACATATAGATATGTAGGTATATGTACCTAGATTGCAATTAGATTCGGGTCGTTCAAGATATATGAACTGTAAACGTCATCTATCTCGCTTCGACGTCCACACTAAATATACTTACTATCAATTAGGATATTCGATCGTATATTACACGCGCTTAGGCGGGTAATTTAGGTATATTCCATGCGAGAAATGTCTATCATATCGTACCTATTTGAACGCTAATAATACACCCAGATTCGTCAGTCGCAAATCACATATTCCGCACAACCTGAAATAGTAAAACACGAACGCAACTTCTGGTCACACTATTCTAAACCAGGAGAGTATCATATTCAGACGTTTCCTTATTTAACTTAAATACTCCAATCAAGTACTCTACTGCATCCCCTCAAACAACAAGTACATAAACAAGTACATACCTAAAGCATGAGCATGAAATCCACATATCACGCACGCTGTATTTGCTATTCGCGAATTCTACTATGCATATAAAACCTCACATCGTGAGGAACATGGCCCGCATATCCGCGAAGATGGTCTAAGGCCGAGCACAGACTGAATAGTGTCCTCAGCTGCAGACACTAAACTGCATGTAATGAAATTCTGTATGTAGCGGCCGACACTAGAAATGAGGGGCCGATTCTCCATTCTCCATTCTCGTCCCTGTTATTTTGCACCACGTCCGCTCTCCGGCTCATCCGTAGATTTACTATGTATCAATATCTATTAGCAGCGGTGCCAAGCTGCCGTACGACACAATATACTACACTACGAGAGGCCTCGACACATTCACGCGACCCATCGACGCTTGCCGCGTTTGATCTTCGAGGGATATCTTGGGGATCGGAAATCCTATGGGCCAGGATCTCCCTTAATAAGATCTCCCCGTCTTTAGTCCGCAGGCAAGACGTCAGCACCGCGGCGTGGTTGCTATGCGACTGACTAATAACATCAATGCCGCAAGGTATCGCAGCGATCAATATGCATCCTAGGTTATGTTGGCACCACAGCACGAGGTTTGAAAGAGGCCGGCACGAGGTGCAACTCGGGACACGTATTCGTTAGTCCTTTAGGATTTGGCTCTAGTCTCGCAGGATGAAAGAAGAGCTCACATCCAATGCGTCTCCTGTAGCTTGCATATAGTTGCTGCATTGGATGTTGTCGAAAGCTACCTTACTGCATTACGAACGCACAAGGCATGCATTGCATGGTACATGTTACCTAGTATCGAGAAACCAACCAAGACCAGAGTTGCAGAATTTCTCCGAGCCGCTAGCGACGCAGGTACAACATTTTATGGCCTGAGGTTTATAGCTCTAATTTAGTAGATCGAGGCTGTGTTAAGTTTACAGATTAACACTTGCATTGCGGCTTTCTCTTCTCCTACCGAGTTCGCCAAGAATCTAACTATTCAAAAATATAAACAATAATATTCTCCAGTTATTCAGATCATTCGGTTACTATTATATCTTATCAACAATATGTTATAGTAGTTGACCAATATGCATCAGGCATATATATCACACTTGCTTAACATCCATTTACTCGGAATATATGCTTCCTAGGAGGTACTTTCATACAAATATAAAAAATACATGCGTATACGAATACTCATGTACTCTTGTACCCGATTTCGGTTTTCTCGTTTCGAGTCTAGCTTGTGGGTCTCGAACGGTCCGCCCCCACCTCCAAAGAGCATTTCTGAAACAACAAGGATCCAAGCTACTGTACGTACCTAGGCTAATCGTCACAGTATCACAGCGTCACCGTCGCATATTCTTCTTTTCGAATACTCGATATGGTATTAATGACAGCACAACACTTCATTTACATTATCCGCATATGGAGATTCGTTATAACCCTCATTAATAAGAGAAACTCTGGGGATCCTTGGTTTCTTCGGCCTTCGAAGATGCCGCCCACCCGCCGCTACGGTCCAAGTATCGCACTCCTTGTCCCTTAAGTGAGCAGAAATAAGTGAGGCAGAATATTCCCATCTAAATAACCCGCTTCCTCCCCTACTCGTCCAGATATTGCAAACACATACATACATTGTATAAGCCTTACAGGAATGAGTCGAAGGAGATCATAAGAAATAATCTAGGAAGTGTCTGGTATTACGTCTTAACAAAGACTAGCCAGCAGCAATTAGGAAGGCTCGACATATGTACCTAAGTAAGCTCGGTAAGCATCGTAAAGTTGCATCTGCAATGTTCCAGCCACCACCATTCGCTCGTATAAAAAATATGGAAGAACGCTGTCCTTCAATTCACCAGTTCCAAATAATTCGGTGTTAGGGCAAATATCCGTTCGCTGGACCCCAATTTCCCACTACTACGCCACGCACATAAGCAAGTGAGTTTATCACATATCTGTCTTATGCCTCTATCGAAGCCGCATCGACGTAACGGAGATCAGCGTTGTTTTCTAGCCAGTCCATCCAGTTGTTGAGGAATTTGCTGCCCCTAGTGTAGGTAATTGAGTCAGAAATGAGCTTCTAGAAATTCTCCACGTGGGTGAGGGTCGGAGCGCGGGCCATATCAGACGAAATTAAAGTCAGGGATAGACGGGATATTGCAATGGGGTACTTGGGACATACCTTCGGACGGTCTCAGAGTCGCCCACGACGACTAGCGAGCGTTTAGGCCTCGTCATAGCAACTAGCACGAGTATTGTTAATGTTTCATGTCATAGTCTTTATATGAGTTATAGCAAGCATTGCTCGACATACCATTTAAACGACGCTTCTCGCTGAGGAAGCCTACTTCTCCTTCGGCGTTGCTCCGAACCAGACTCACAATCACGGCCTCCTTCTCCCGGCCTTGGAATCCATCTACGGAGCCGAGTTCGATCCTAGGAAAGGCTTCCTTCAAGGGGGCTAGTAGGCCCAACTGGAACTAGTTAGAATAGCCCGGATGGATCGCGACAATAAAATTCGCGCAATATAACGTCGGAAAGGGGCTAAGGTCAAGATTATAAGAAAAGGGGAGGGGAGAATGAGGCTTACCTGAGCATTATATGGCGTAACGACGGCAATATCCTCCGGTCTAACGCCCGCCTCGACTAGCTTCTTGACATGCTGCTTGACGAGCGCAGCCTCCATCTCATTGCTCTTGCTTTCCCCAAATAAGGACCTGATGCTTCCCTTCTTCCCGCCCCCTTTCCCATCTTTACCCTCCCTATCTTCCTCTTCCTCGTTCTTCTCCGGATAATCCCCTCCTTGGGTATCTATGAAAATCACCGGTTCGCTCGTGTCCTCGGTATCTTGCACTTCATACGGCAGCCCTCGTAGTAACCGTTCTTTTACCGCATCCGCGGCTACTAGTCGCGACTCGTATAGCTCATCCGAAGGGAACCTCATGACCTTCTCGTGCATACGGTACTGTGTCGTAAGCATGCGTTTAATAGACGACCCGTGAAGTTTAAGTAGCCTATCGAAAAGCGTAGTCTCGAGGCTTGCCCCTTTAATAATAGCGCCGTCTTTCTCCTCTTCACTCCCTTCCTTTACGGCCTTGGGTTTCGTCTTCGAGTTGGTTGATTTCACTGTTGGCGGTAGTTGAAGATGGTCGCCGGCGCACACAGCCTTGGAGGCTGATAGGAGCGGGACCCAGCATTGTGCTTCGAGGGCTTGGCTGGCCTCGTCGATGATCACGACATCGAATTTCTCGCCACGCAGTTGGTTGCCGCCGGCGCCGTGAAGCGTCGCAAGGACGACTTTACTCCCACCCACTAACGTACCTACACACCGGCGCTCGCGTTCGCGGTATTCTTTCCGTAGTTCCTTGAGGTCCGCGTATATTGCTTTTCGCTCACGACCATTGCGTGTCTTCTTAATAGAGGCTTGTTTGGCATCCATCTCAGAGCGCACATCCTTAACGATGAGGCCCGCCTCCGAGGTCTGTGTAAGTACATCCAGCGAATGGTTTAGTACAGAGGGTAGTAGGCGCGCCGGATGCCCGAGTCGTACGATAGGTACCTTGTGCGGTGAGAGCCTCTCGACAATGTTGTCTACCGAGATGTTAGACGGCCCGCAGACCAACACACGTAGGCCGCGCTTAACCATTTGTAAGATCAGCTCTATCAATGTGTGCGTCTTGCCCGTCTAGTAGAAACAAGCAACACCCAGTCAGCTTCATCTTGCTTATAGCAGGGGAATATAATTCAGAGTTGGAGCACTCACTCCAGGCGGTCCATGAATCAACGCTATCTCTCTAGATGCCAGCGCGAACCTAATAGCATCCTTCTGGGAGTCATTCAACGTCGGATCAAACCACTCGATCTTACCCTCCCCATACTCCGCATCCCTGACCAGATCCGCCGACACAGGCGACGGACTCGTAAGACCAAAAAGCACACGCGTGAAAGTCGAATATTCAGATTCTGACATATCCCCCAACCGCTCCATAGTCTGCTTCATACGACGATACGTGACGTCATCAGCCAACTTCACCAGCCAGACACGGCCGCCAAAAGACGCCGCATCCTCCTTATCCTCATCGACCGCAACAGCAATAGCATCCCTCTTAATCCTAATCACGACGCCCCTCGCGCCTTTGCGCTCCAGGTCCTTAACCTCGCGCTTCTTAGCGCTGCCAGCAGGCTGCTCCGAGACGAGCACGATATCGCCGGTGCGGACGCCGTGCTCGGGCAGTTCCCCGGTCCCGGAGGTGGCGGCATCCGGGGCGAGCTCGATTACTGTCCTCCCGCCTAGGCCGGTTCGTTGCGATGAGACGACTAGGTTGGTGACGGCGAGCCCGGCGCGCTGCAGGGAAACGGGGCTAGTTCCTGAGATTAGGCCGCTGGTCTCGTTGATCTCGCTTTGCAGTTCGATGTCTAGAAGTGCTAGTTGGGTCCGGGCGAAAGCTGGTACGTCGACCGACTTTGTTAGGAGTGACATCGTTGACTACCTATTATATTCATCTCACTCCAAGTGATTGGTCAAACACAGCTAGACTCGTCAAACTCGAAATAGGTAGTGATGAAGCCGAAGTGACTAAGATTCGGATTGAAGAGAAATCTATTCAGATTCGCGTTTAAATTACCTGGTAGGTTAGATACGCTCGGTAGCGCTAGGTTGTCAGTTGTAAATTGTAAATTGTAAATTGTAAGTTGTGAGTGGTGAAGTTTGGTGGAGTAAATTTTGATTGATGATGATAGATTCTAGCTATTCTGTAGATTTCCTACATGTAGACAATCTATAAACACCACTCAAAATCCATACTACTCAGTACATAAAAATCATTATAAATTATAGCTTTCCTAAGATACCAACCTAATCAAATGAATGATTACATTTGACCTAATTTCATCAATCCTAATTTTCTTCTCATTCTTCAATGCTATCATGACTTCCAACTCCGATTCCGAACCCGCCATATCGGGTAGCTTAGCTAGATCCCACACCCGTAGGTTGCGTAAATAGAACCACAAACAAGCTTACAACTATAAGCGCACATGCAACCAACGAGACAATTATTATTGTCCCCCTCGAAGCAGGGAATTTCCCTTTGATCACCCATTGCTGGCCTTGGTAATATCTACGATATCCCAGCAACAAGACTAATATAGATATGCCTATGAAAGTTGCACCGAGCGGCTTTCCTATATGGCGAATCGTCTGAAAATGGGGGTCATCTGGCTCTATCGACGCGTTTAGACGGAATAATTGGGTGATGGCTATTCCGATAGATGCGAATGAAAGTGATGTTCGAAGCCAGGCAAGAAATGTCCGCTCTAGTCGCAAGCTGTTAGAAGCAAAATAGAGGCCGGCTGGCCAGTTGACGTACCCAAAGCCAAATGGTCCCTAGCTACGCTTCCTTTATTCTCCAACTCTACCGACCACACGCCACTAAAACAATGTTTTAACCAATTCTTCTTTTCGTTCGTATGGAGAGATGCGCCATTCGTGCCGTTTGTACCGTTTGTACCATTTGTTACCGGACAGTCGAGTTCGGATTGCTGTGCGGGACGTCTATTTCTCGGATTGGGTGACATTCGCGTGCTCTGGTAGTTTGTCGCATTGCCACGCGCAGTCGCAATACTCGTAGTTTCGTCTGGTACGCCATCGTCGTCCCGCTCTAGTACACGCTGAAAGCTCATCCTCGCAATCCGTCCCGATGTCTGCGAACTAATAGTGTCGGCACGCTCTCTAGCAGTCTAATAGCAAATTAATTTTTTTTGTCAGAGAACTTAAATATCGGGAATGCAAGGGAGGATCGTGGATATATATAAATTTATTTCTTTTCTCTCCCGTTTTCCCTTATCAGAGACAGAAAAGCTATAGACTAGAAAGCAATGATAGTATACGCACGAACCTCGAGAATACCACTGAGCCTATCTTGGGATGATAACCTCGATAGCGATAGCGGGCGGTCTGGCACAGGCGAGGATCCTCGCAGATTGAGAGAGGGTCCCACCGTTGGGGAACGCCCGGAGGCGGAGGCCATCTCCCCTCTCGTCCTGCACGACCTTACTGGGTTATTTTTCGTATCTTCGAACGTAGTCGTCGAACAAGAAAAAAAAAACCATACCAAGACTCAATTTAAAACTTGGTCTTGCATAGGCGCAAGCGCAAAGGCTAATTGACCGGACATGTTGGAAGTTTGGTGATGTTTTGTTAGCTTAGATGATACCATAATTAGGCTAAGCCAAGATCTTTATAAATTTTTTAGATCGATGACCTTATGTATGTAAAGAACCATCCCATCTCTAGTGTCCATATGTACGGATTAGGTACGCTTCCTCTTTTTCCTTCACGAACCATACGTCATATGTAGGAACATACATACTCTAGCACTCAGGACCCCTGTAGCTACCCCTAACCCACTTCTACCCCGACAACTCTACGTAGAATATAAATAGAGAGAGTACCATTGTTTGGTGACCTTCAAAAACTCCAATGATACTGCCAAAACCAACCAAGCCCCTATATAAGGAATTGCAGCCGCTGTTGATCCTCTAAGGGAAACCGTCTCTGAATGTCCAACATATTCTCCAAGGAAATCCGTTGGTTTCTTTATAATCACTTCGTTGCTATCAACGTATCTTAAATTCGCAATGATCTAGCTAAAGAGCGTTGCGACAGTCGTCTTCCCTGTCCCTGGTGGACCAAGAAAGACGTAGTTGAGGGCCGATTTCAGAAGCTCTTTCATTTCCCTTTCACGAACATAATTGATTTCTTGTCTAGATACTAATCCTTTTACAGTAGCCTTGACTTTCTCTATATTAGCCATCTTCTCGAGCTTCTTCCAGGCATCACTTCGGCCATAGTGTTGATTTCTCTAAACGTTCTCCTTGACGTCGTCGGACTTTCTTAACTTCATCTCGAAGTGCCTTAATATTTTGGAAGGTCCCTTGTCTCTTTCTATGTCTAATTTGTCGACTAAACATACGAAGGATCGGCACATTGTATCCTCCGTCGACCTTTCGGGGCTCCTCCTTCAATATACTTATTAGGACAGCAATTAGTTCGTCCTCGTAATAGTCTTCAAGGTCGATCCTTCGTGAAAAGCGCTCGCGAGCCTTGGGGTGACCTAATAAAAATTTTATATGCTCTCTGGAACCGGTCACGATCAAAACACCTTCCTTCGAATTTAGCTCCCAGTCGGCAATGGCCTCGTCCATAATAGTAATCTTATCTAATGTGATACCTAAGAACTCGAGATAGTCGGTGTATATCCTGGCGATGGTTGATTTACCAGTTCCTAGATTCCCACTGATAATCAAATCCAGCTTTAAACTCCTGATCAGTATATTTTCTTTGTGGGTCTGAAATGCTTTGATTCTGTCTCGGACTAATCGGAATTCGTTCTTTACATCATCTAGTCAGATCATGTTCACTAGCTTTTGAAGAGGCGAGTTTAAATTCTCTCTTTCTCGGCTTTGGATCCAAAGAGAAATGGTCCCCGGTGAGAAAATGGGAATCGAACTCGCCGCTGGTATCCACGGAAGGGCGTACGGTCCAGATGGAAGAAGGGAAATCTATATGGGTATATATGGAACCAGAAGTCCGACGAATCCAAATGGAAAAATGGAAAAAATAAACGTGTTGTCGGCAGAGGGTAGTTCTATTTCCCCTTCCTGATTATTATAGGCGTTCGGTTTCGATAGATCATTCGCTGTAGCAATACTATTCCTCCAGACATTCTAGAAGGACTTTAGACGGTTAAACTCCTCCATCATAGTATACATTTTGAAGAATCATGATTATCATAAGTAAGCGTAGATAATGATCGGTGGCGGAACCTGGGGTGGATGGTGCCGTCTAATATGCTATGGACATCTTCGGTGGCTGCTGGACACACCATCTTCGTATGGCCTTCGTATATTCTGTTCGTCGCAATGCCTTTCCTAGGAGGAGGCTGAAGACTTTCAAAAGTCTCTACGTCGGAGGTAGGAGTTATACAGCCGTAGCTTGAGGGGGATAAGGGACTTGTCGATAGGCCTGAACAGGAATCGTCTTTATCACTCCATCTATGAGGGACATTGGCTCGGCCACTGGAATTCTGGTTTGAAACCTTAGGTGAGAATCTCGTAGTATCAATTTATAATAATCAAAGATTTGTTAAGGATAAAAATATGATTTTACCTTAGTACTCGACGGGACCAAAATGTGGAATAATGGGCGTAGGTTATATGTGATTGAGTTATCTTTCTAAGAAAGACAGACAACTTCAACTTTTGAGTTTACTGAAGCTACCTGAAGCATAAGTACCTAGGTACTAAAGGATTTCGATGTGCTGACTCCATTATATTTTATAGACTTATCTACCTAGGGAATGGTTATGTAGGCGTGGAGGTAAATACTAATATGTACGTATCCCAAGCCAATATGCTACGCTAAGAAGTAGGCACTGTACCTGAAATATGTTCCTCAGTTGCTCATCCTAACGGCGAAACTTCTTAGGATAAAAATGAGGCTGAGCGGGGGAAAATATTTATTCATCCCCTGAGACGTGAGAATGGTACAATACAAGTCTCTTAAAATTGTAAAAGATCTGGTAAGCCCAAAGTGCCTAGGCTGGGATCCTTATAGAGCAATAAACCAGGTATGTTATGCCTCACTTTGATTGATGTCCTACTAGAGGACTTATTGCGCATATTTTCTACCCTGCTTACGCTTTGCCAGATATTTACTGTATATTTAGCGCACTGTAGCAAAAGAATACTTGTACAAGTGGTTAAAAGTCATCAAAACCTACCCGTAGCTAAAGGTTTAAAGAGGATCCCCATCATCGCAAACACAGGATCAGACAATCTCACATTTGTATAAGGCTTATCGAAATTTATTGAAAATTAGCCCTACAACGAACAACCATGGATCAAAATCTCTTCTTGATTCAAAGATGGATAGTTAAGTACAGCATTAAGTACAGAACTGCAGCCATTCGCTGTAAGCTAGTAACCTCCCATTATAACGCACGCTACAAATATATTTCTCATCATTACGATAAAACGGTGCTTTCATATAGGACTAGTCAAGTTATGGCTATTGATGTATATCTAAGTACTCAAAACCGTTGGAAGTTCTCGTAGAGTGATAATGTCAGATATAGAACGAGTGCTAGGATATCTGATAGTATTAAACTCGTAACGCTTAACTTCTACTCTCTTGTAGAGTATATAGACCCCTATAGCTACCCCTAACTAACAGATACCCTAACAGTTACAGCTAACATGTACTTACTGTTAATGGGATAGAAAGGTAAAATTCGATACTAGGGGATAGTTACCAAATACAACTTTACAGATCGCAGCAGCTACCCACATCTCTACACCGCCAAATTTACAATATATTTAGAGCGTAGCACACGAATAACTTCCACTTATTTTTACACTTTTTACACTAAACAATACACCATATTTTCCCACCTCTTCCCTTTTCCTACTTTGACTCTTCTCTCATCCTATCCTATCCCATCGCACCTTAAACAGGCTTCAACTTTTTTTTTTTTTTTTTTGCATTTCCTAAGATGTTGTTTTTCCAAGGATCCTATCACGGAACCAGAATTTACAGAGCTTTCTGAAAGGGTAAGTTATCATTTTTTATTCTTTTCAAACCTCATCTAACATTTAACGGCTAAACAAACCACACCATACCTGCGTCTGACTTTTCGAGTCGTTCAGTTAACTTGCTTAACACTAGGTGTTGGGTTTCTTTTAAGAATGGACGCCGGGAGCCTAAACAAGTGACAAGTATCTGAACGATGCAGCCAAATAATCCTCGCCATTGAAACAATTGATATTTCCTAGAACCTATTGAAGGGCAGTGTAAACATAATTATTCTGTGCGAGATTTTCAACTAATAAAGGACTGCTTAACCAGTTCCAAAGAATTCTGGAAAACGCTCGTTATGACAATAAAAAGTCTCATATACTTGATCCTGAGAGTCTGGTTGTACAACTTTATATCACTATTAGATTAGTTAACTGCCTACCTAGGTAGGTAAGTAGAAAGATGTATTAGATTAGTCATCACTATCAGGTTACCTGAAACTCCTATTTTCCTAGAATTATTAGTGCATAGCACGTTCTCATCATCCTAATCGGATCATCAAGAATTCTATAAATATTACTTCATCTCAACGTTCTAACTAATAGTACCTACCTACATATCGGCTATGTGACAGATTCTTGCGGGCTGCTTAATACAGTAATTTGCCAGAATATTCTTTCTCGCGCAGCTCGGGGATCGATGCAGCGAGCTTCGGTCGGTCGGACGGGACAGCCGCTCTCTAGATAAGCAGCGGGAAAGGCTGAGGCGCACCAGCGATCCCGCACATCCGATTCCAAAGGGGGCATAGACAGCGCTGAGCTGGAGCGAGGTTCCCGGTTGCCGGCGACTATCAGCCAATCTGCCGAACAGGAAGGACGCAGTCGGAAAAGTCGTCTTCGGCCTATGCATACTACTCTGTCTCGTCAATTGTCGGTTGCAAATTTCGCGCAGGTGTTTATCTAGATATATATAATCAGGCCCCGATGTAACCGCGATGCGATATCCTCACGGCTAGTGTACCTATAAGCACTTCGCATACCTTCTCAACACTCTGTTGTCTCATGTTGTTGACCCGAAGCATACTACTCAAATATGTGGCGACTATTTATATTCAGTCCTACCTCGGGGGATCGGGGGATACAAATTGCGATTGGGTGCTCTCCCTCTGCTATGTGCTCGGCTTATAATTTATTATGCTCTTGTTATAAATTTGAATTGGTAAAAATATTCTCTTGATACCCTTTGTTACAGATTGCCACGTCTTTTTATCTGTAGGCCAAGATCCTGTTAGCATACGGCATTCTACCCCCGTACTGTTTTCTGCCCGGTGGGAAAATTCCTATGCATACCATCCACCCATGTTCTGGTATTGTGTATACCTATACCGGCCGGTAACGGATAGCTTTGTGATCGTCCTAACCGACCTGCATGTCCCTGGTCTGTCTCTTATGTAAATTTCGTGAGCGCTGAATGCAACCCTTGACGCCACAGTTCCATCCCGTTTCTCGGTTTGCTTAATCGAGCGTACGAATCAACCTGGAATCTCGTCGATACTTCTGACATTGATTTCCAGCCTTGCGTTCATTTTTCGTCTCAAGGTGCTGCTAGCTGGATATACTACCGAAACTTTTGTGAGAACCATGTCGTGCTTTAATCTTATATACGTGCACTTACAAACTCTTCTTAAGCGATTTGAACTACCTAAGGGCTGGAGTGTTACGAGGCCGTGCCACTGTGTTTGTGATCAGCAATTCCTTGTTTGTATGATCCGTGGGGTCGGACTTAAGGGCTGAATTATATTGCATATAATCCCTGGTTCGGGAAAGGGAGGGAAGGGAAGGGAGACGCTTTACTTTTGACGGCAAAGACGAGGATATTGTGTAGTACCCACCGGATCAAGCCTCATGTGATCCTCCCAGAACGACTTTCTCGCGTAGCTGAAACTTTCCTGTTTAGGAATGATGAGTTCAGCAACTGGTTGCCAGGGATATTTCTTCTCATCCCATGCGACGCCTGCATACTCGACAGGCTGTTCGCTCAAGTTCTCAACAAGTTGCACTTGGAACAAGAACTCGGCGTCGTAATTATAATGGAAGTTTTGCAACCATCGGTGTAAGATATCCTCGGCGTCTTCTGGCTTCACTGTTTTCTCGGCCAGCTTTGTTTGCGTTTCTGTGGACGGGACGAGCCGATATTTCATAATGTAGTCGCCAAAGCGATATGCGGTTTGCGAATACCATCTCATCGACTCGAGATGCGTGTTTGGAGCCTTGTCCCGCGAGACCTGAAGCTCATAGTCTGGCCGCTCTTTTAAGCGCTTATACATCTCCGCTTTGTCGTGATCGTACATTAGACGAATACCCAAAACCTCTCTAGTAGTTTTGGCGTCGGCGAGCTCGATAGCTGGCGTGCTGTTAAACTCAATATCTTGGGTCGAATAGTCTCGACCGGCGTCAAACATCTCCCCTTTTACATTGAAGATCTTCATAGCAAAACCTCGCGGTTGAGCAATACGGTCCTGTTCTCAATGTCAGAATTTGCTAGTAGCTCGGTACGTTTAGAAACACCTGCGTCAAGACCTGGATCGCCTGGTTCTGAGCTATAGCGGCATGCCACGGGATATTCTCCGGCTTCCCTAAAGAGCTCGGACTGCTTGAGATGTTTGGGTAGATCTCCTGGTACGACAAGCTTTCCCTTGACAATGCCTTGCGTTCTAGCGTGAGTACCGCCGTAACAATGCCGTGCCTTGTTATACTGGCGCCGTTGCATCTCGCTGATCTGCGCGATCACGGCTCTCATATCCTCCTCTTCCCCAGGTGGAATCCTCTCCACGCCCGCAGCCTCCCAAGAGACATACTTCCTACTTGCTAAATTTACCCATTGGCTCGAAGCCATCGTGTCGATGCAGATTGATGCAGCTATCCGCTTTTAGATTATAACCAATTTATTTTTACAATTTTACCAGTCTAGGACTTGATCATGTAGAGGTGCAGATCTAAAGCGGAATCCAACGACTGCCTAGGTACCTAAGTTCGAACATGATGAACCATACGTAGGTAAGGTCGTGACGTACAAAATACGATGTTGTCTATGCCGTCATAGATCATGAACGTAGTGTGCCAGCCAACCCGCGGCTTCGAACTCTAATGGGAGTTCAGGCATTACTCCTCATGGCTCATATTATCGAAGCAACTTAAGCAGAGACCCGAACGTATCGGCGACAGCGACGGTGAAGACATATGTATTGTATGATGTATAAACTAGCGCCTCTAATTTACGGGGAAAATGCGTGGCGCCAATAGCGTTCAAGAACGGAACTTCGTATATTTGGATATTGCTATATTCTTGTCATCTTTCATTTCATTGGCTGCGTCTAGGTTTCGGAACTTGAACGAAGCTCCCGCTGGATCCGCCATCCGTTTTCACGGAGACGAGATTCAAAACGAGCTTTACCGATTTATAGAAATGCATGTATACTAGGGTACCGTACAAATCTAGTTAAATTTCATAACCGATTCGGGTTGATGTACACACCCTTCTGCTTCTAGAAATCTACGTGCGTATATGAGAGACGGCTTCGTGCACTAGCACGTGAAGAAGGGGTACCAGAGACCCGGTGGAGTCCTGCTTCAAGCCCAACTTACTTCGTTGGGTATTCCGCAACTACTATATGCACGATCTGTTAGGCAGGCTAGCGTAGTAAAACGCAGCGAGTCCCGCGCCTTTCCATTCTCCAGTTCCGCGAGCTCGCATTGCTGATCAGGGCGAATGCCGCCTTGTTGATCACGACGCGCTGGTTTCCCAAGGGGAAGAGACCCATGATGGATCACTGCTCGGCCACTTGTCAACCTTTTTTGATCCTATGTAGGGAGGATTCTTACCGCGTTATGCATGATAAGCTCGTGGCAGGTTGGCTAGTTAAATATGAACCAGAATGAGGACGAGGCTCTGACGAAATCCTGCTTCTCGAAGCTGAGCTAGAAGGACCCAAGGCTACGTACGTGTGGTAAATACCAGTGGTCACCACGCTACCCAAGCACGAGGGTTCTTACCTCTCGTAACCGAACGGATTGAGATGCTGTTGGTGTTCGACTCCAGCCAGCTGCAAATTATGTTGATCCGAGTTCCAGCTACACGAGTAGCTGGAGATCGTCTCTGCCATCTCGTAATGCCTAATAACCTCGTGACGATAGCCCGCGACCCATTGACGATCTCAAGGGAGAGGCACAAATCTAGTCACCGGCATAGCTATAGCATGATCGCCAGCTAGGCCTCGATAACAGATAACACCGAGGGTATTGTCTAGACCAGGCCTCCATCTGATAAGCAGGCAAACTAGCAGGCTGGCAAGGTATGTAGGTTTGTACGTAGAAGAGTGTGTCAATGCGCCTTACCACACAACAAGCCCCGCTCGCTATGGCAGTACATATGAAGGGAATATGGGAGCGGATGAGAGGCGACGGCTGGTGCTGCACGTGGCAGGCCGCGGACCTAACGAGGCCCCTCGTGATATACCTTTTTGGGGGGTGCGATAAACTAGGAGGCGAGAATGCTCCGGCAACAAAGACTTGGCCCCAACGACCGACGATCTCTGGTACTAGGCTTGGAGGAGACGATGTTTGCGTCTATGATGCGTGATTGGCTAGACACGTCGGACAAGCATCGCGGGAGCAGAGAGGATCGGCACTTCGAGGACACTTCTTGTCGGTGAAGTGCATCTTTCCCCCCCTGTTTCGATGAAGATATTCTAGTATTCTGTGATGCAGTGTGGGATACACACTTCTGACAAAACTTAGAAGTGGAGGTGCTTGCGTGTTGTAGGTTGCTATATGGAGCAAGTCTTCTACCCTATTAACATTAGATAGTTTGTTAGTTAGAAGCCGGGTGAGACTTGGGCAGCCGTGTTACGTGTTGATGGATAACACAGGGCCACAATATATAATTTCTGGGTGGGACTGGCATATGTGGAAGAAATTGATAGCCGTTGTTGAAGTACGTGAGACGTGCAGGATTCGGCCCTTCGAATTTTTGGATACCGGAAGAAAAGCGGGCGTTACCTTTAGTCACAGTTATACATAATAAGCATAGACCAACGCATAGGCGGGTTGCAATTAGGTGGTAGAACACTTGTTAATCAGGTATAGCATTATTACACAGCACTATCATCATTTGTCCCATCATACGTTAATAAACGTTGGTTTAACTACATGTGAGGGAAAATGCGCATACAAGTATACGTATATATTATACGTACGTACCTAGGTACCTTAGCCTTAGTGTATAATAAAGGGATCTCACATTAGTTTTGACGAAGGCTTGACTGGATGACATTGAAACGTTTAATGAGGGGAAATGGTAACTACAGCCCTCTCAGAAAAGGGGAGTTGGTAAATGAATGTGAGAGTGATGTCATTACCGTTCCACGACATACGCATAAGCAGCGGCAAGCAGCAGGAGATCGCAAAAGGATTTAGAAATATGACGAAGCATTAAGAACCTGGTAGAGGTTCGGTGGAAGATTTGGGGGGGAAAGGCTTTGATGAAGGCTTGATATTAAGGGGTCTCAGAAGTGCTCGGCCTGGCGCGGGTGGCTGATACATATGAGAGAAGCCATGAGGGCTTGATCGCGGGGAATGAATAAGATTCCTAGGTACCTAGGGTACGTGTATGCAGGCCCCGGTGAGGATCAGTGAGCCTCTTACGAAGATTGGTACGCATGTCGTCACCGCGATAGATATGGCAAGCAGCCATATGAAAAGTGTCGATATAACTGCCAAACGAGACAAGGGCAGGTCCCGGAAGAAAACGTTGCCCTTAAATCGACTTAAATCGATTTAGATCGAACAAAGAGGATGACGGGCAATAGGAACTGGTAACAAACTTGCCGTGAATAGCCTGGCTCAAATGAGGATTTGCTAGTATACCTTCCTATGAAGGTAATGATTCGACGGTGGGTAAGGCATGCAGAAAACGTCTCGTTAATCTGTTTGAATACCTAATCAGACGAGGGCTTCGTGCATGGGGGATATTTTGGGTAGATCTTAACATTTTGATCGTCGTTCTGCTATGAGAATCCTAGCGAGCTGTTTTGAAGTCGTAGCAAGATGGCGTCGCCTTGTCTGCTCGTCTGCTTGTCAGCTTCGTTGCCTTGTCGCCTCTATTGTGGAATAGCCACGGTTCATGCGTATGTAAGCAGAACAACTCAGGGCATTAGACGTCTGTTCGGTACGTATTGGTTGGTTAAGCTGAAGCGGCAACGAGTTAACCATGATAAGTACCATACATTGCTTATAAATGACATCACCACGTACCTCTCACCACACGCCAGGGCGTGGAAAGGCCCCGCATCCGATTTGGAAATGCCCAGGTGCTGCACCATCGCTGTACATTATGTACCTAGGGTACTGCCCAGGAGATAGATGGGTGTACTTGTTACTGAATTGGCCATACTGTGTCTTCGACTGTACAAAGGCAGCCCAGCTCTACGCTTCTGCTTCTCAGCTCTGATGCCCCATATATATCTGCCTTGTCTGCTCCCGCCTACAAAATCGTCATCTTCCGGGGGTCTGCCCTAACCCGAAGGCCATTGAACCATCCAGAAAAGACCCGAGGACGTTCCGATTACGCCATCTCTGCGTCGTCTCGAATATTCTTGTTTCGCCCTGCCTGATCAGTCATTCTAACCATTTTCCCAAGTCAATCATATGAGGAAGCTGGGAAGGAGTGTGAAATAGAAAATTGAGAGCGAGGCAAAGAAAATCTTGTTTAATTGAACCGAATTGGGTGGTTTAGCGACGACGCAGTTCCTAGTGGTATTCCCGCCACCTCATGGGGTTTTGGCGGATGGCATTTAGTATTTTGCCTAACCTGCATCCTGTAAAATCCGAAGGAGGTCACTTTTTTTTTAGGGGTCCTTCTCATATCCTCTGAAATTGGCGCCCTGCAGAGCGGAAGAACAACTCTAATCTGCGCCAAGGGTTATGATAGGCCAGTCATATTCCCTGCCAGCCCTCCGACTCGGGTTGCTATCTTCATCTAAAATGCCTCTTTCTTGTACGTGCATAAGAAGACGTCTTGAACAGTTCACTCTCTCGTCTCGGTACATTGATCTGAGAGACGTGTTCGTCGTGAGGTATCTGGGTATGTGATCAACCCACGGTGAAGTTTATCAAATAAGCATAATCGGTACGAAGCAGCTCGGGTCCTGTTCCGACCGCCAGATTGTGAAAATCTCGTAAGCATCATTATGGGCCGTTAAACGGAGCCTTTTTGCTTATCACTTACTTAAAACGTATTCGTGAAGCAGGCTTTTAAGATCAGTTGCTCATCACAGGAACCCCTTAGAAACGGTCTAAGATTGCTGTGCTCCATTAACTTCTCTTGCTGGCCCACGAACCTGAGCACGGCCATTGGCTGAATTACCTCTAGCCAAGCCCGAGAGGAATCCAGTAGCAATCCCATTCCTCGTTACCACGCCTGTTCGTTCCCCATTCCAAGGACCACTTCTTATCGAAAACTCCCAATCATGAGCGGTCTGTTGGAGTCACACAAGCCGACGACGATCCGCGCGACTAGGATATTCTTTATGTGGGTGCCTTTTAGTGGTTCTCCTTACAGGAACCCTTTATTTTAGATAGCAGTATGTAACTCGGCACTATTAGTAACGAGGAGTATAATTGAATGTTTCTCTTGATATGGCTTGTCCTCTTGCTGCTGCTGCTGTCATGTTTCAGGTTTGGGTCTCTTCTTAAGGGTAAAGAAGCATAAATAGAATTTCCGAGCTGGAGGAATTAGTCTCGCCGTCTCGTTGTCTCGCTGTCGAGGTTTATTACAAGGGCCTCAGTAATAATACCGGAAATGTTGGAAGGACACTAAATAACAAGTACTTTTTACATTACGAAGCATCAAATACATCCACTGGACAGATACGATAGAATAGGAAAGAACCTTTAATGCTTAGGCAATCGCATCCTGTTTGCGATTATCTGCCTATAATTTTAATTCAAGGGTCCTTCCCGCCGAGATTCGGTTGCTTACGATGACATAGATGGATGTAAGGTTCTCATTCATACCTCAGTCTTGTCAAAAGAGGCAGAAAGGCTGTAGGTACATAGATGCATTAAGAATGCATTATGTAGATACATGTACATCCACGTAGGTACACTACATAATATGTACGTAGGTACAAGACATGGAACACAAGCATGGAAGGCATGGACCATGGACCATGGACATGTATGGACGTATGGAGATGTCGGAGAGAACAACATCTAGTAGTAGTAGGTAGCGAAGTAGAGAAGGTAGGTACAAAAGCAGGTGTACGTATGTACTTACGTTACGCCTTGGTAAGGCAGGTACATGGCAATCAAGCAAAGTGGATAGGTACCCACTGGTCTAATACAGTGTTAGTTTTACTGTGACTATGTCACTCGCCCACGTCCCTGTGCCGTGCCGTAATTCTCTTGTCACATCAGAGACCTAAACAAAAACGTCGTTTTGCCGTCCTTTGAACAATTTTGTACCGATCGACAAACGACCCACGAGCTGACTGACCACACAAACTCTCTCATACTCGGCCAGCGCAAAACCCAACCACGCTCACCCTGTCACCCCCCAAAACACCTGCGGCACCCCCGTCCAAGTCCTGAGCTTTAGTCTGGCGATCACTTCAACCCTAGGTATGTCGAATTGGTCCCCCCCGCTCATCCCCGATTCGCAAGACCAGGCCCATTCGAACTCTTCCTGCTTCTCCTCCCTTATTACCCAAAGCCCACCCTTTCTCTTTTCCACTACCGTATCCTGACCGACTTATACAACCCACACCCTCACACGAAAGAAATTATAGAAAAAGAGCCGATGTATCCTTCTTGCAGGAATTAGCCAAGACAGCCTCTTGCGCACCTTTCTCTCGTTACCTGCGCCTCAGGCCTGTCGCACACGGATATACATACGCATTTATTCTACCCGTTCGGACATCACGGTACCTATTGTCTACTGAATGGTGGCGATCTCTCGGAAGCTTGGGTGACGGGAGGATACGGGCGTAAACCTTCAAAGCATCCTACCAACTTTTTAATCCATTCTAATACCGCGGGCATCACGTCGTTCGCTTTCGCCAACTTAATACTTCATTTCCGCAAACCCTCCGACGGTCTGGACCAGTAGTAGGATTATACACACAAAGCGTTCACGATGAGTAGTGAACCCGTAAATACGAAACCTAATCTCCCCGAGCGATCGGATTCCTCGTCTTCATCTTCTGCAGAAACCCAGGGGATTCACAGTCCTATCCCTATTCGACCGCGTTTGCCTAACCGCAAGAGCAGCGGCACTCTCATAGTTCCTCGAGATTCCTCTCAAGTTGGCCCACTAGAGCCAGAGCTTGAACCAGATGATGTTAGGGCGATGAGCCCGCGAAGAACGAGCGAGGATATCGAGGTTATGGGACGCGAGGCTCGGGAAGAACTTCATAAGTAAGTCTAATTTGATCCGACGAGACTGGCGAGGTTAAGGCTGACGGATTACAGGCATGCGAGGGCGCTGCAGGATTCTCTCTTAATGATCTTCAACCGAATAGAGGCAGTCAAGGAGGAACACGACAAGCTTGACAGCCATAACAAATTTTTGCAGAAATATATTGGCGATCTAATGAGTACAAGCAAAATTACATCTACCAACCGAGGCAGGAAGTAGGCTACTGCCGCGAGGTTGCAATGGAGAGGAGGGAGGTTGGACAAATAACGGCCGCCGTGTTGCGACAGCGGCGCCTATGATACCCATACCGATTTCGCGACTTAAGGTCGCTACTGGCACCGAGATTCGAGCTCACAGGACTTGCCGGATTATTACTATACATTTACTAACCAGATTCGCTCGGTGGCCGCTCGTTGCTTCTGGATTTTAGTAGTTCTTCTCAGTGGGATAGTCCGCCCGGCTAATACGGGAGGCTTCGATTCTGAGTGTGTTTTAACAGTGCTACGTATTTGGGGGTGACGAGTTGTACTGTGATTTTTATACCAAGACAGGGAATCCGGTGTTGAAAAAGAGTTTATATACCACTGCCGTTTCATGACTTACATCAGCATCAGGACTACCATTGGATTAGGGGATGGGTTGAACGGAATTTGGCATCACAAACGGCGTTTGCAATAACGATTTGATTTCGGCAGTCAACCGGAGGCGATTGACCTCGTTGGCAACATGTACGTAGGCGTTGCTCGTCATTGGGACATAGCTTGGTTCGAGCACAATGATTCGCGAATAGAGCCTACCCGTTCATTCGACTGCTATTCTGGATTTCTCGCTGGTGACGAATAGTATGTTATAGCCTGGCAGTTAGTAGGCCCTCATGTCCTCGTTTGCTCCAGATCTGAACTTGCCTGCTCATTTGTCCGATACTTGGGTTCGCGGTGCTGAGAAGCTAACATAGTTAGGATGTTTTGCAGTTCTCTGCGCTGTATCTACAATCGACGACAGCTACGAGTCATCGCAATGTACCGTTAAGTGAGACGTCAATTCTTAGTCAGGAGATAGGAGCCAATATTCCGGCTTCCAGCTTGGCTGCTGCCACTCACCTCTCAACAATACGATATGTCTTTTATCGATCATGAAGATTGATAACGCGCTACGCTGGACACGACATGATTGGCAGAGGCGCAGACGTTGCTACGGGTGCGACCGAGGGGAAGTCCTACGACATGGTAGTCACATTGGGTGGTTCAATAATGCAGACGCTGTGATTCCCATGGCGACGCGGGACGGCTGGGTTTGCATGGAAGATAGGGTTGCCGTATGGGTATTTTCACATGCGGTGTAAACAGAACCGGGGGAGCTAGTGGTGTCGTCGGCCGGTCGAAATAGGGGTACAGACGGAGATCTACCTGCTTCGGGCGAACATTGTTATCCAGTCCCGGGGACTTTTGTACCGGCCGAGAAATTTCGAGAACCCTACCTAACTTAAAGAACGGACGGCGGCAAAGTCGGCGTTGCGACGTTCGCCGGATTAAATTATTCATTCATTACTGTTATTATATTTTTATTTTTATTTTGGCGTGTTATATGCATGGATATTTACACGAGCTTTGGGTATTGGAGTAGGGCAGCAGGGGGGAAATAAATCGGAAAGCTCTGGACCATGGATTTAATCTCATGGGAAAATCCAGATTCCCATCAGACCCAACGCCCGAGCGAGTCGAAGCCCGAGGAACGCTTATCTGTGTAACCACACTTTGAAGCACGCCCAAGCGAAAGATGATCGTCACAACCCCCCCTCTCTCTGCTGCTCCCCCGACGCGCCCGCTTGGTCCCGTCTCCCTCCTTCTTCTCGCTCTCGTACGCTGGGACCTATAGAAAGATATCTCACCCCCACGGAGGGCTTCGGTTAGTCTACGAGGGCTTTTGGGACGGGAAACAGGACGTGGCCTTGATTATTATTATTATGATTATTATTTTTCGGGGAGGATTGGACGGGGTAGCATTTGGCGTGTCCAGTTGACTTTCAGACCAGGGTCCTTCGGCTCTCCTATCGCTTTTTCAAAAATCCCATGAGCTTTTCGCAATCTAAAACCTATCCGTCATCTGAGTCTTTTCGTGAATTTGCCATGTGTGTAGGGCGTGGCTGTTAGTCATGGTTCTTTGTTGGGTACTGACGCAATTGGCGCTCCTTGTCCTTATTCGACAGGCATTTACCTCGTAGGGACGAATGAGAGGCAAGGGGTTGGCCTGTATGTATATTTGCTTATGTAGGTACATGTCCCCCCTTTCTCGTCCTTCTACCTACGCACAGTACGCATGAACTATAAAGAAGTATATTTATTATATCGAGCAAACGGTTTCTACTTTTTCGACCCCAACGCTTTGTTCTCTCTTCCCCTCGTATCGTATCGACCTACGCCATAGTGGTATGTTGGACAGGAGATTCTGTGTTCTTGGACAATGTCTCACCGGTTCTCAATGGGAGGGGTGCCTGTCATCCTAACTGATCCTTGCAAGTTATTTTCCTTTTTTTTTCGCCTGCGGCATATCATGGCGGCACGTGGGATGGCTGCACGTATTGCTGGAAAGACGGAAAAAAAAAATGAAACAAATGGTATTTTTCACCGCTTCCGCTTCGCTCAGTTATCTCGAGGTGCTGTCTTGAAGCGAATAGATGCCGAGTTCCGCCATTCGTTGTTGGTCGATAGCATGTAACGGTCCATCTAGTCATTGGTCGATGCAACAATATAAACTGTTTCCTCTCGCTCATTTGTCGCCCTTTGCAATCCTTTGGCTTGGCTATTCCTTTGGCATAAACCTCTGTTCAACAACGTCGACCTGTCTAATGAGGTACCTGCCTAATAAGTAAACTAAGTTGGTTACCTCACCTGAAACTGTTCCTTATGTACTTCATTTCGACTCGCAGAAGTTGAACAACGGGTAGCTATCGGTTAGATGCGGTTGGGCTCCGAGGTTGTGGTACTGGTCGATGAGTATCCATAAAGGAACGATAAGCAAGACATACATGCCTATAAGCTGCGTTCACGCGTGTCCGGGTATCTTCCAAGGCCCGATATGGTGTTCATATCGGGGCGAATCACAAGAGCCTCATGCATGGAAATTCGGGAAGTATTCCTCTTTGAGGCATCTTAAGGGGGGGATGTATATAAGCATGATAAGCACAATCATTGGAAGGCCTACGCAAGTCCTGACAAGCCTAGAAGAGGGGTTATGGCTATTTTCATGTAGAATACATATGTTTATATTTATAGATGACTTTTTATTATAATCTTACGATGATCAAGTCATAAGCTTCATTTCTGTATTTGCCAAATTATCGATTTATGTAGTAAACTTCGTTAACATTATGCTGAAATAGGCTGCAATTTAGCTACCCCGTTATTCGACCACGTTAAAAACCTCTTGGTGATTAAAAGCCAAAAGCTCGTCATATTATACTATGGTTGTAGTGAAATTTATGGTCGCGTTATTCTTACTGATTCATTAAAATTATAAGATATGATGAATCTAGTGTTGTCAACGCCTGCTCCAATAAGTAACATTGGATTTTACGATGCACCAAGTAATATATATGATCTATATTGGTAACTCGACGTGGTAAGTTAATGATGGTGTGGTTGTAGAGTTGTCTCATAAATTACCTAGCATTAATCAGCGACATAAACGACCTACACACCAAATAAAATATATTAATAAAGTAACAGGTAACTTACCTATGCATCTTTGTTGCTGGCCTTTGCCACTCGAAGGCAATGTCAACTATGACTTTGCAAGAAAAGGAGTGCTGTGTATGGATGCATTACTAAGTTAATATCGAGCATTCAACATCTTGGCTTCAAGTTCACGTGAACTTTCTAGAGTAGTATTTTATAATCCTATTATAGTTATTTTTTTTGCCACCTTGGATGAAGCTGGTAAGCCAGAGAGGCGTCAAGATAACTGTCGAACCTCTACTGACAATTATACTAGTAGGTGCGCCATATTTTTTTGACGTCCTTCTGTATGTTATCCAAGTAAGAAACTTAGGAGAAGACCTGAAATTCAGGACCTGAATGATGAGCGACGTAGGCCGAGCCCGGGACCCGTGACTCTATACCGGAGTCCGATGATTCGGGTCCAAACGACCGGCCGGTACATCCCCGACCTGCATCATCTGTACACACCAATGGCCAAGCATTCCCATCAGTCGCTGCTTTATCCTCCTATTGGACTACTCCCCTAAAATCCGTCTATGAGCATACATACAGTACGCACGTACGCACGCATGTATATGCAGACCCAACAACGGCATTTATCCGCGTCCTCGGTGACAAGGGGGTAGCACAATATTACACCACCCCCAGCCGTAAGACGACGTCAGGTACGCCTCGATTTAGTCGCAGACGCATGCAACTAACCTGCCCCCCAGCCAATTCCCCGTCGCCAACCAGGAACCGATAGATGATAGCTCACCCCGGCACAAGAAAGAAAGGGGGACGACAGGGTAGGGGGTTCTCGGTGGTCTAGCGCGTACGACATACGTCATACGTCATTCCGGGGGAAATAGTCGAAATGGTTAAGCAGCGAGGGACTGTGTTTTATGACAGGTCCCTTAGGGTACCCAAGACTAATAAGCAGCGTGCGTGCGTGTGGGGGAAAAGATGAGGGCAGGATGGGGAAATCTCGATCGCCGACGCCAACACTAAACCAAACAGGCCAAATGTGGGGGCACAAACCGCATCCTTCTACATACTTCTAGGTACATAAGCATATTTCTTACCACTAAAGTCGGTGAAAAGCCAAGGTCGACGAGGCTAACACGATCCCTGTAAGAGTAGCTGATGGCTCAGTCCCTGTCGAACTAAACTAGATGGTAACGGGTAGCAGTATAATTAAATCACAATGGTACGACATATAGAGGCTAGTTACTTATTATAATTGCCAATGGATTACAAGGAATTTCGTTACTCATCTAGGTACCACGTCACCGAGCACAGGTACATAGTAGGTATGCAACTTGGAGACAAATGTCCTACAGTCAGCTTGGAAAGGTAAGGCAAAATGGTATAGGTCTATCCAAGCGCTAGCCCCTGCACCAGACTCCGTACTTGTGTGGTGACGTAGGAGCCACATGTATCTAAGGGAAAAGAAAAGCCCTTCCGCTAACCATTAGAAATGCAGATTATAAAGAGTGTAAAGCAGTGCTACAAACGCCCGTCCCCTTGCCGAACTTATACCTAGGTTAGGCCCTCCTGCGGAATTTGAAATTAATACAACTACAATGAGGCAAGACTATATGAACTCTATGCTGAGAGGTGAGTTGCAGAGACGTGCAAGCAGCTAAACATATCAGGAAAGTATTCCATCAGTAACCGAGACTGTCGTGTTGATGAACGGGACATCGCCCAGGGTGATCGACAAACCATGCGCTGATGCAAGCTCGGTGGAAGCGGCATAGGCACTCCAAACGCGCCATACCGACGCCAACTTCGAACTCTTCGAGGCAGATGGTACATTCCGCAGAATCCACACAGTCCTTCTCCGTGGCTAGGTACGGAAACATACCGGTTCTGCGAGTAGCCTGGCTCGACCTGCCGGATGCGCCAGAACTTGGGTTATACGAACTATGTGCTATGATACATGATTCGATATGCGACTCTCGTAGAGCCTCAAAGTTGAGGAGCTCTCTCGAAGGTAGCTCGCGATGACATATGGGGCACTCATCTTCTTCCGGGATCTGTGGCGCGGGTGGTAATGGGCGATTAGTCATCGCTGTCGAGGATGTGGACGAGGAACCACTGGCTATATCCATGAAAGAACTAGCAGTTAATTGATGGCCCAGGAGTGAAGTACGGCGATATCTCGGGTGTGCCTGCTGTGGGCGTGAGTAGTACGTCGGCGGGGTTCCGGTCATAATTCTATTTTGAGACGGGAAGTAAGGTCCGCTTACAGGCCTCGACGGGCCCGGACCAGAATTCTATGGTGGCATTAGTAGGCTACTTGTAAGTGGCAACGGGGGAAACGAACCATCGTGACACTTCGACTCCTAGGGTAGGCATCATGAGATGAATTTGGTAAGACCAAGTACTGCTGGGGGCGGCTGAGATTATTGTCCCCATTGTAGTTGCCACTAGAACTACTCTGGGATCGATGATGCGTCGACCTCGGTGAGAATTGGCTTGTCGAGTGCTGGGTTTGAGGTGGTGTAGTATTCGGGTCCGGGACGCAGGGGTTGCAGAGCCGAACCTGTTCACCTCCTCCGAGCGCGGTAAAATCGGCGATGCCGCCTTCATCCCCGAGGAAAGGATATCGTTGAAACGTCCTTTCACCGGGTGGCCGTACGATATATTGATGTGGTATAGTAATCCTATGTGGGGAGCACGCATTACATACTACTCTTCCACATTTTCTTTCCTCTTTATTAGTTTCCTCGACCAGCTTTGTCATATATTATAGTTAGAATAGAACTTACCGGCAATGATGTTTCCTAACAAAAAAGCTGAACTGCGTGCGACATATTGGACAAAATGTCACTTCACTATCTGGCTGCCATCTCGGAAGGGTAATATCCTGCGGAGACCTGCCTGACCGTGGAGTAAATTCTGATGCTATCGGATTTAAGCGCGAGGGGGGCCTCTGGGTCTCACTTGACACTACCAATGGTGGTGCAGTTGCATTCTGATTCGTACGTCTAACTATCGGGGATCTTGCATCGGTACTGGATTGAGGTGGTGCCGAGTTCCCAATGGATAGCCCACTAAACGATTCGTTCGTTTGGTCTAAGACTTCCCTGAGAGTTAGCCTCCCCTCTTGTGTATCGCCAACTTGAACTGCATATGATTCTGAGCCCCGTTCATCGGATGCGATTGTATTGGTGCCAACGTCGGATTCCGACGACTGGGAATTGGAACCTATGCCCTGGATAGACGCTGAACCATTTACTATATTCGATTCTGTGCCCAAGCTATTTGAATCCGCGTCATGTCTTAACGCGCTACCGATCTGTTGTGTTGTCGCATTAGCCTGACCGGACCCGCGGCCACGCATCCCGATCGCCACACTCCCATCATCATCCCCCACAGGACTCCTCTCAATCGTGTGTGTTGGACAGTCGTGATATCGAGAACATTCTTGGTCAAAGAACCTAGAAGTGCTGTATGGACAGACATGGTTAACTCGGGTCTCGCTCCGAGCATGCGAGCTCCCTGAGCCAGCGTCGCTTATTTCGAGAGCATCCCTTTCGGATAGGCGAGGCGAAATAGGTGGATCACTACTAGCAGACATCCTGTGACCCAGACTCGCTCAAGCCGCATAGAAGGAGATCGACGGGGAAATCATAGAAGCGCGGAAATATGCTTAGAGTCTCTGAGAGATGTTGATTAATCGAGCTTGGTTATCGTTTGGCACTGGTTTATAGCGACGAACCCCTCCGGGGCAAATAAGGATTGCTGAAGAACTGAGAAGACGGAAAGTTAGCGATAGTCTTAATCTAGGTACGATACCATAGAGAATGTTATGTTAATGTTATGTTGAGAAATAAGTTGAGGGGCAGAGGTCCTAGCCATAACCCTCTGATGGTCACGGACTTTCCTCTTAATAAACTTACAGGGATACAATGGCGCTTAAGCCTTCGGAGTACATGTATAAAATATAGAAGTTGGAACAGGTAAGTAAAGTGAATGGAAGATGTAAACCTCCCTGCAGCAAAGCAGAACCGACGACAACGCGATTCCCTAGTTTTGGTATGTATAAGGAAGAGAGGCACGAAGGATGTTGCCGCTAGAGAGTGAGAGCAGCGCAGTTGCCAAGCAACTTCGATATGCTGCTGATATGCTGATACATCTTCTTATCTTATCGGCTAACTCGGGGTTCTATCTATCGCGTGCTTGGAGAGTGCCGCGGCGGGGCAATCGGTGTTAGTGCTTTTAAGATACATGAACATGTACCTAACTTGCAAGTTAGAGCTGCTGCATTAGCGTCTATTTTATATTCAAGGCTCTCAGATCATTGATGTACCTAATCCAAGGTTAGGTGCATTCCATTTATAGGTCTCTATAGGAGGTACTCCTCTAACCATTTAGAACTTAAACTGTTATATTCATTGGGTATAATATGTACCTATCTTCTTAACTCTACCTATCGTATATAGGTAAGGTAGGTACCTATGCTTCTACGTAATCGGCACGATTCCCACTGAAACCCAGTTAGTGCCGTCAAACCATACTTCTTTAACCTTCCCGCCGCCTACTTGGAAAAAGCACCGGTTCATATCCTGTTCTCTAGATATGCCAATATTTCCAGGTTCGTAGGCCCCAGGAGTCAGGCAAACAATGTCAGCTCCTTTCTCAGCTCCATCTAACGCGTCGTAAGTTTGAGGTCCTTTCCAACCTGTATCGTCGTCTTGCCATACGACTTGTATCGTACCATCTTCCTCCTGATATAATATATACGTATTAACTTGATTATTGTTGTCGTAAGGTCGTCCAACGGAAAAGGCGCCGATAGAGGTGTCGGCTGGGATCTTCTTCGACAGAGCCCCTTTTCTCCAAGCCACCCCGTCATTAGAAGACTCTAATCCATCACGGATTTTGAGTGATAGCATACCCTCATTACTTCGGTAGATTATGCCTCCGGCGTTTTGATATGTCTGTGCGATTGGAAGCACAACCATACCACCCCCTTTAGATGCTTTAATGTTCCAATTCGTATCATTAACCCACCACGGGGCTGAGAGGTCACTAGCATTTTGTCCTAGCAACGTAGTCCACCGTATAGCGTTGTTGGCGTCCTGGGAAGCAATAAAAGGGAAATAACATGATATTCGAGCTTTTCCAGCCGTCTGTAGAGGATACGTATTGATACTTCCGGGTTCACCTTTGAGAGGAAATTTCCCGTTTTCAAACTCGAAATTGAAGTTCTGACCCCGAATTATACCATCTTTATCCTCATAGAAAAACTCAAGATTTGGCTACTCAATCAGCAATGTGTACACGGCCATACTTGGGTATGAAACTTACCACCGGGTCGGCAAACAAATACGACCCCGCGGCTATCGATCCATTTTCCATTGGTTGATATAATAGTATGTCCAAAACCGTCGTCTTGGTCCAATTGGCACTGACGTGCTCCTTATCTGTAAATCGTATTTGATTATCTTCGTCTTGAAAGAAAAGACGAATTCCGTAATCCGCATCGGTCCTATACCCTGTCACAGCTAACCTGGAACCGACTTTGATAGATTGTGTTGGCGTCGACTTCGGAGGATTGGATGATGTACCGTTGGAAGTTATATTCGAGTCCATTCCGTCGTAATTGACGCTCCAATGTGCCTGGCTTCCTATAATACCGCCCAAAGTCGCGCCGATCCCAAGTAGTAACACTACGGCGCCAACTATAGTCCATAATACCCAACGTTTCACCTTCACCTCTTTACCATTACCCAAAATTTGACCTTCATCCTTTACCCACGACGAACCCGCGCCGGCTGCAGCATAAGGACTGAGATATTGATGTTCAGCACTCGACGAGGCTAGCTGAGGATTATGCATCAGATTTTCACTAGAAAAGCCTGAAACATGTGATGATGGCAAGGTCTGGAACGATTGCCCATAGTTGTGACTCGCATTTGGGCCGGACCATTGAAACTGCGGTTGCGATTGTGATTGCGTCATGTATCGTTCTGTTGCGATCGTAGGGACGGCCTGCAACCCTTGCGAGGTAATTTCATCGGCGTGTGCTGATCCTTGTGTTCTATATGGCGCCGTCGCATCTCGCATTCCTCCCAGAGCAGTAACGTCGGCATACTTGTGTCCATCGTGTGATATAGGTTGCAATCCCGGTGTGCCTTGCTCGTCTCGTACTGGGGCTACCTCAAGCCATGGTTGAGACTGTTTGGATGTCAGCGTATTGGGCGGGAAATGGTATTTATTGTCGTCAAAATGTTCATCTTGATGATGGTTCTGCATTGCTGCTGCAGAACAAAGGCGCAAGTCGCTACATGAGACAAGACTACGCGCAGGTTATACTTGATGGTATCCTACTATCCAACTGTACGTTGAGGAAAATCATTTAACATTGGATGTATTACGAGAATAGGAATAACTATAGAATGGAAAGAACATACCTCCTACCTAGGCTACATAATTTACAAGAGATCAACCTCTTACAACATTCTTAACCCCTGGACCACTAAAGTCTTCTGGTAGCCCAATGGCTAAGCATAATTAGATCTCTTGGGGCTGAGCTTTCGGCGATGTTTAAATCTAAATTGAACGGATCGGGGTTTATAATTGGACCATTAAGGGTTAAGGCTACAGAATTAATCAGGTACATATGTATAAACACGAGGTAGGATTCCAAACCCTGCTAGTTTTGAACCCCCTTGCCCTTGTTCCCCCCCCCCCCGGTTTCCCCTCAGAAAAGATAATTCAAAACGAGGCCAGTACGAACCTGACGGCTTGATAAGCGAGAACGGGACGTATCAAGCTTTTCTTTATTTTTAAACTATCCGCCTCTGAAATGTTCTAGTTGATTTCGACCTGCACGTCAACCGGATAGCCGAAGCCGAAATGGAGGTATCAATCAACGCCTCTACACACGAACCACCTCGATATGGACGTTCTATCGAGAACGTCGAGCAATAAAGAGTACTTTTTACCAACTCCCGTTGCGTTTCTTTTTAGCGGTATTTGATACTCTGTGAGTGGTAAGGTCGTAATTTAGATTTTGATCTCCGTGTGGGCCGAGTAGTGCCCGGAGGTCTAAACCCTCATCGCCAACGGCTCGGACTTGTCTGTACGTCTATGCTCTTTCACCATCCGGTAAATTACCAATATTGCCCAATTTGTAGTTAACTCAAAAAATCTTTAACCTTAGATGAATTACACTGTCCTATAATACGCGTCATCGTGATAATTTACTTGTCTGACTCATTGACCTAGCGTACGGGCCAATCATAGCGTTGAACATACGAAGGAGGGCCCCCCTATTCTACAAATCGGACAGTTTGTAATGTTCAACATCAAAAGTAGCTTCCCCACTTACACGCCATGCCTCAAGTACATGTACATGAGTGTAAAGCCCATTCAATTCCAACATGCAACTTGTAGAAACCAACGGCCAGGTGGAGGATACAGATATATTAAAAGCTCTTCATAGGTACCTATCTAGGTTCTTGGTTTACACTAATTTGATTCTAAGGATTACGAATGATACAGGGAGTTTCTGGAGCTCGCAACTCTAGGAAAGGGTCTCGTTTCAACTTTATTGTTAGGCATATACTTATGATAACTTCCTATTGGAGCTCAATATCCTCTTACTTATCACCCAGACAGTGACTCAGTCAGTAATAGAAGCTTTGTAATATATTTCTTACTGCAATGTGGTTTGATTTGCTGCGGTTGGAATACGCTCTCCGCTCACTAGCTTTTATTTACAACTCGGCAGCGAATTTTAACATCCCAAGTCACAGTCGCGTTTGTCCATGATTAGTGTAAGTAAGTACCTAATATGAATGAAATTACAATTGAAACTGTCCTTGTATGATACGGATGTTCCTTAGTGTTCGCCCTTATCTACATGGTTCTGCTTATGCTCCTTGCTGCGCGCTCCTCTATTACACACCAGGAAAACGGGTCTCTGTTACACCTTTTTAGCTTTACTATCGATGATCGCATGCAGGTAGTTTGCCCCCTATTATTCAAGGCGATATGTATATTTTAGTTCAGGCCGAATCTTTGTTTGTATGCAGCATAAGATATAAATGTCGATGGTCCCTTACCCTTACAGAGGTCCTTTATCTACCCCCTTTTCACCATAATGCACACCGAACAATAAACCACTATCCAACTGGTGTGTGGATTAGCATAGATTGTAGAAGATGGTTTACAATTCAAACGATCTTTAACGCTGTGTGGATATTCAGACCAGTAACAAGTAGTTCTGTTTCTGGACAGTTTAGCCAATTCCTATCCGTGTTAGGCAAACGTTCGACTAAACGGCAGTACTGCCATACTAGGGACTTGAGTTCTGTACTGTAATAATTAACAATATTATGAGCAGCAATGCGCTAATAAGTACGTATTATACCAACAGGTACATCTAGGGATGAAAGGACATTTGTAAAGGTCGAAATCCGCTGCTGATTCACCAAGATGGCACCCCGTAAAATCTGGAGTTGAGATGACTGTCTCCGTCTTTAGTCAAGGTGCAGACAAAATTCTTTTAGAAATCAAGATCATTTATTGGACAATACATCACGATGTCCCTTCCTAGTTCATTAGTTTTAGAATGTCAAAATACCTGCCTTGTCACAATGCATGACTGGACTTCGTGTCATAGCTTCAAATATGTATACTTTTTTCGACTGTATGCCAGTCGAATATCTATACCTTTCGACTGGCATACAGTCGAATATATAAGTAGGTTCTGTTTAGTGCAGTACATTCCTCAGGTTATTCCTTCCTAAGCAGCTAAACTTGCCAGTCGCCTGCCTAGATTCAACGAGTCATACGTGAACAAATCACTGATTATCAGGGCGGAGCGAATTTTTCAAAACTAAGTTGAAATAGTTTCCTAATACCTCAGGTCACCAGGTGGTTATAAATAAGGCACCACCCCAGTGATTTCTATTGATATTTTCCTCTCTTCAACTTCATCAGGTTCACAGGTGAAAGGTCCCAACCTAAGAACATCATTTCCTCGAGTCTTGCATCCTTTAGCAAGATCTCATCTACCACCGGGTTTGTTACCCATATTGGCAACCTTCACAGTATCATTCTCTTGTCCCCAACACTGAAGATGAGGGTCGACCTTCAGGAAGAGCTCGATGAGGTCATGAGCCTTGACGAGTCCACAAGCCATGATGAGTCCATGGGCCTTGACGAGGTCACGAGCGTTGATCACATGGATCTCAGTCAGCAGTCGGACATCGATTCGATGCCCGAGACTGCCACCGCACCTTCGAGCTTTCCTCAGTTCAACTCCTTGCCCCAGCATGTCCGTCGTATGATCTGGAAGGTAAGTGAACTTTGTTGTCTCTCTGGAGCCCCTTTACCTTTCCGTTTACATTAAACCGCTAACACGGCCTGATATTTTCTTTAGCATGCGATGGATGAAGAACTCGGTGCCCACCACATCGTCGTGAGCAACCACCGTTCCGTCTGCCGATCTGTTCCGGCGCTGGCCCACGCCTGCCGCATGTCTCGAAGCATTGCATTCGAGAAAGGTGGTGTGTTCAAGCTCGGAAATGGGGATAGGACTTGGTTTTGCCCCGCTACGGACTTCGTCTACTGGGACACGGACAAGTATGACTGTAAGTTTGCCACCTCCCTTGATTCGATCTAATTCCATGGCATTTTGTTAAATGCCGTAATAATAATACCCCTTTATTATCACAGAATTACTCTTAAGTCCTGGTAGCCGCTAACAATCATCTTTGTAGTGGGAGAATTGACCTCCTCTGTTCAGAACCTCATCGTACCCTTCTTTGCCGGCAACAACTTCAATGAAGTTTTCCACCATTTTTCCGAGAAATTCGAGGCGTTCTTTGTCCCTGGCAACCCGAGTCAACTGAAGAACATCTTCATCTCCGTGGAGTGGGCTGCAACGACGGATATTTGGAGTGACATGGCCATCTCTCGACTCTTTGGGTCGCGCACTATTCTTGCGCCTGCTCTCGACCAGTTCGACCCTCTTATCGACCACGTCAATGACACTTGTCCGGTGCTTCCTGGCTTAGTCGCTGAGATTTGGAAGAAGCATGAAGCGATTGACTTTGATCAGTCGGTCAAATGGAGAAAGTATGCTGGAGAGGTTCTGCATGCTTGGATGAATACCGCAGCCGTGTTTTCCAACAAAATTAGCGGAGACCAGCTTGATGACTTCTGGAAAGAGCGCTTGATGCACCCCAACGGAGGCTCCTGGTTGAAATGGTTTGAAGACCGTGCGCCCAACATCTTCCCTACTTTCATGTTCACGAAGCCTGACGACGATGAGATAGTCATGACTTGACTTAAGGGAGGCAATTCGTTATCTGGGACTACAGAGTGGCACCTGAAGAATCACATGCACTGGCGTTGACTTATTGTTGACTACTAACAATAACTGACAGCGGATGTCTATATATTCATCCTAGATGCGAATAAAAATAACAAGATGCCCATGATTCCCAATTAAGTTTCTGGATGTGATAACGTGATTGTGATTGGATACCTAATATATTTGTCTTTACGAGAGTGCTTCGTCCTTGATGGAAAAGGTTACGGGTAACCTACCTAACTTGAAGCCTATTAGGGTCAATGCTGCCTACGATATTACCTACCTCCTTAGGTACCTACCTGGTATATTCATATTGATTTTCTAGATTCTGAATTGAACTACGATGCCAGGAGAGCAATCCCGGATTCTGGTAAAATTTAGTTAGTGATTAGGGGCTGGTTACGAAGCTAAGACCTGCTGTTTAAACCCTGCGTAACACGCTAATATTGTATTTGAAGTGCCCTGTACATCTTATACTCCTCAATGTTTTATCCATCCCTTCCCGAAGGAACATAGAAGAGTGAATCCGAAAGGACCTATTATACCTGTGATATCCCATATACATATCAGATATGAATTATCTCGAGTAGCTTGTATAGCACTCTCATACAATATCTCATCAATGAGCCATCTCCTAGCTCTCATATAAGGTAGTCTTTAACAACTAAGGAGTAGAACAGCATCCTTGGTTACACAACCGCCATACTATTATACGTGGTCACATGTAGATGTGGCGTCGTTTCCGTGTTGATTCTGAATGCAATATGACGATTTTCGGCATGGCTAACCCCGAAGTTCTTCCTATCATACCACGATCGATGCTTAGTGGTAGTTGCAGAATAAAATGACTGGTATTTTTTCTATGCACAAATTCTCGGGATTCGGTTAGGTATTTGGGTAATCATTTAGTAGGCCTACTGCGCCATATTTACGTCGGATACCCCAGTAACTTTCTTGGGTTATTGGTCCTTATTGAATTGTTCGAGAGACGTTCCACAAGCTTGTGGAGATGATCGAAGAGCTCTAGAGCTTTAAAGGCAAATATATAGGTCGTACATACCCCTCTAGCATTTGGTCCTCGGGTAGACCGGACATTCCCATGATCCGACCTCCAGAATCTCCCGGCCTTTTCCAGGCTCATAGCCCCATAATCTATGTATCCGAGTCCTAATTTCACATTGTAAATATTCGGCTCTGCCGGTGTTTAATATCGTGATCCTAATTCTAGATTCTCTGTCGCTCGCTGTTAAAACTCGGGACTGGGATAGCATTTGAAGAGAAAAAAAGTTGATGGGGTGACGGTGATACGGCTATCGAGATGTGGCGAATTTATTTGGAAGCGGTGAACATGCGTTGATCCCCGATAGCTATTAGGGAGTGGAAATGAAGCCCGTCACAATACATAATGGTCGGCATGGCAACCCTGACAGGTTGTGTGGGGGCCGCTACGGGATGGTATACTGTATAGAAGTACGTGATTGAAAGGTGCTCATCCATACAGCTGGGTTATTGGCTTTGTGGTCCCAATGCAGGACTGGTAGGCTATTGAGATGGAAGATCCGGAGAATTCTATTCGGAGTACGCTAGTTACTTTCTTTATCACGTAAATATTGTATTGTATAGAGCTGATCGCTTTTAGTTCCCTCCCCTTTCTCCCATTAGACCGGCGAAATACCTATGTAGCTGAAAGCTGGATGTCATGCACTAGCCTCGCATACGTAGTGGACTTTAAAGAACTTTGTCATCTCCGTGGCACGCGGTAGGGCTCGTAGGTCGTATGCGCAACTGAGCCAAGCACCGGAACGACGTCTAAATGCTACGGCAGCTTTAATGTGGGCTGAGAGATCAGTCATTGCGGCACGATCCTGTGGAGGAGCTGCAAAAATAGATTGCAGGGTAGGAATCTACAATGGGGTAACGAAGTATACCCAACGGTTATTTGGCGTATACCTCTCGGGGTTAGCTAATAACTTGGAGGTAAGCCCACGTAGGAAATTTAATCAAAGTGCTCACGTTCATGCTGTGTCACATATCATGACATGCGTCCCGTTAATCCTTGTGATAAGCCAACCAGTACATATGTATTAAGCAGATTTAGATGATACAATCATAAACCTCGGCCGGTCTGAAGACTATATACAGGCTTTCAGCTCTCAGGTTCGAAGAGGCTTAGTGATACGGTAACTGACGAATGGGATTGGCTCATAGAGGCTTTCGAAATTCTTTGATGGACATTGTGACCCTTCTATGGGCTAGGTATAATTTCGGGCTTACCAAACCGGTCCTATTCGAAATTATCTTTTTTTCTTTCTTTTTTTTTCATTAGTTATATCTACCAGTAGTTAATCGCCGGCACCACAACCGATTCGCACGTGGTTTTCGATAACCCCCAACCTGCAATACTGCTTCGAGAAGGGGAATCTGTTATGATCGTCTTGGCTGAAACATCCCTACCGTTACAGCCGTGAAACTAGATGATAGCCTTAAGAGATAGGTATGTATTAAGAGTTTCTGCTTTATAATAAAATTGCCTCCGCTTTGATTATTTGTGTACCGACCCAACCTGAAGACTAGACTGCCGAATTTTATACCCAAACGCCACGTATACAATACCAGACTGAGAAATTAGTAGAACTACATGAGATATCACCAACTACCTAGTTATAGTTACTGCTTATACTTTCTAAGCTCTGTGATAGTATTTCGTGCAGCTTATTGACTTCGAGCTTCGCGTTCTCTAATATTGACAACGGCCCAGGGGTAGCGTCAATATTAAGTTTAGAACGATCCAATAAACCATATAAATCCCGAACATGCAATGCAACCATGTCTCGCAGCATCCGGGTCTGCATGCCGGTGCCTTTGATAGAGTAACGCCCGAAGTGGAAAACTACTGGGGCGGCTTCCCCAGTTTGGCACTGCATGAATCGACTGACAAGCTCGCGTGCAATGGCAACTAATTGGTTGCCGAGCGTAGCGAGAAGTATTGGATTTTTGACTCTCGTGTCACATTCTTGACAGGACAACATGGCCTGACATTCCTGCATGCCTCGTTGTAGGCACTGGAAGAGAGTATCGGTTGCCACGTCTCTGCTGGAAGTAATTTGGACACCTGTATCTTCAAACAGATACAGTAAGGCACACAAGCATCCACATTTCTGACCCGAGCTCAAGCTGCCGGAGGTCGTGGGCGTGCTCAAAGGTTCAGAGCTGTGGCTGCTGTTGGTCAAGTCTTGCGCAGATTGTGTCCTTGTAGGTGGGGGTGGTAGAAGAATAGGAGCTGAATCTATGGGCCCAGAAGATGACAGACCGAGTAGGGACGAGTAATTGTCTGACAACTGTACCTGATCCATATGTAATCCACTTGGCGACTGATCATCAGGTGACAACGATGCAGGTGCAGAGAACCCTTTTGAAGTCAGTATCGGTTATGGAAACTTCACTCATAGCTTTCATCTAAGTGTATACTGCAATGATAGATAGAGTTAGTGAAGACCTACCTGGAGTAAATTCAAATTCATTCCCAGAGAATGGTTCCATATCTGTCGGTAAGTTCAGTAAATGGTGAATCTCTGAATCGGGTACCGACCATCCAGTCGTTGTGGCGGAATCGGATGGACTAGAAAAAGAATTGTCGATCATTGTGCCAGTAGTGATGGCTTCTCTTGAACTCTGTGTAGGCTGGCTCGTTCTAGGTGTACGACGGCCGTTCTTATGCCCACTAGTTGTTGTCTTCCTCTGGGGATGGCGAGGGGATCGACTTCGTGATATTGAACTTTTATTTGACCTGGTATTTGTGACGACAGACGACTTACGCAATCGTTTTCTACCAGGCCCTGTTCCAGAGCTTAAAGTGTATGTACATGTGTTAGAGGAAGCTATGCATCTGTCGCATTCGTCCTTTTCTCCATTGCATTTTACCTGTATAATAAGATTTGGTTAGCTGGTCCTAGTTTCCTGTGAACTGTGGGTATACGTTTATTAACTTGCTTTTTTCGCGCGACATAAGTCACAAGCTGTGCGCGTATATTCCCTCTCCTGCACCGGGGACGACTGGTGATCAGGCAGGTTGAAATGATCATGCTCCTTCGTCTTTTCGTTATATCTAAAAGCACCAAACATATCTACCTCTTATGTACCCAAAGCTAGCTAATAGATCTACAAGCAGGACCAAAGGTATATGAGGAAGGGTTAAACCGAGGTTGGAAGGAAAAGGCGGAGTTAAGGATATAGATATAACTAATACTATATAGAGCACACTCTGTGCTTAAATAAAAGGCAATGCGTCTCGTTGATCGGGAACATGTCTATGTAGCTCGGAGCTGTACATTTCAACCGAATGCTTGCATATCGAACTCACGTATAAGTAAGCACAGCCATTTATCTAACCTAAGCAAGTAATATAAAACAAATTAAATAACAGGATTTAGCTTTTTATTACTATCAACTTATAAAAGTGATAGTTGTAGGAATTATTAGATTTAATGAGATTTGCCAATCCTCGGCAGTGAAAATTATAGATCTACGATAATGGCGACCTATACGAATGAAGGTGCCAAGTGCCTCACACGCCAGAGGCTTGATGCGTACCTCTAGTGGTCACGTCAGACGCCGAAACCGCCTCGGGATTTGCATATTTGCGTAACACAACCCAACGGAGGCTGCAGGATTGCGGTATGAGGGAGGGCCTTGTGCGCCCCTCGAAGCCGTCCGACTTAATTGCTAGGCGATTGCCGATACTCCCACCTCAGAGATGTTTCTTGCGAGCTTAGCATAAGGCGAGAATAGAATATACAAGATCCTATATTTTGATCTAACCCGGTGATCTTTAAAGTTAACTTCGAAAACTTTTACTTAACTTTTACAGCTTGTTAGATTCAGAATATATGTATACCTACATAGTTATCATCAACCTTGCTGGTTCCTCTCTAGGTGACCTTGGTGGCGAGTTTTGTACCTGGGGTAGGGATGAA